CTCTCCGGCTACACTATTTACATTATTCGGATTACTTTTTCATTCCCTTTTTTAACATCCACAAACAAGACCTGATTTTACCCTTTGTGTGCAGCCTAAACTGTAAAGACTCGTATTAAAAAGGTGATCGAAAAGAAAACTGATTTTTAAGTCTGAACAAAAGGAACCTTTGGTAGGAATGACAACTCAATATCTACATATATTAAAAACAGTAAACTTAATGCCCTTATTAAAAATAGAACTTTTTTTTTTTTTTTTTATAATTCCATTTTTTTGGCTTACTTCAAAAATATTTACAATATTAAATCTTGATTTAAAATAAAAAAACATTAAAATATTGAAATTTAATTTTTATTTTTATCTGCCAGCAAAAAAAAAAAAAAAAATCTAAATGTGTTTTATGAGCAAAGAAATTAAAATTCAAATGGTAACAAAATTCTTTGTTTTCATTTGCCAAATGATTATTTTTAAATAGCAAATTTTGGTTGTGGCTGCTTGGAATCTGTTTTCTTTTCCTTTTTTAAATACATAAGTTTTTATCTAAAAACCAACTTAGCAATTTTCGTTCATACTAACCCCATCAAAAGACCAAATTATTTGTAAGCCCTGCCACAAGGTAGTCAACCAACCTATTTTCTTTTCTCTTTCCATTTAAAACCCCATTTCTACAGATAAACATACAATTAAAATAAGAATAAATCAGATTTTTAAAAAGGCAATAAAAGATCCAGAATTTTTCTTTTTCTTTTATAAAATTACATCAAGCATATATGAGAATAATGTAAATTCAAATTACGAAATTTGAAACAAACCTTCAAAGCCAAAATTGCTTTGAGAAAAAAAAGACATGGAAATGAAGAAATTTTTGGCTTTTCTGAGCCACCAATTTCAGTAAATGTTACTGTGCAGATGATTCCAGAGGATTTGCAAGCAAAACAAAGTGCAACTTATTTCTGCAAAGTTCAAAAAGAGTCCAGTTTTTAGAATCCTAGGTTTAAATATTCTTTGCTGCCAAAATAAACAAACCCAAGAAATATCCCTTTCCAAGAAATGAAGAATAGTCTGTGATTAGTAAAATTTTCTTAATGTTATTATCACATTTTAGGCAAGTTATTCTTCAGTCTTTTATACAAAATGAATTCCCTACCCCACAAAAAAATGGCAGTTAATTTTTCTTGTCATTTTCAGAAGAAAAAAAAAGTTTTTTTTCTTTTCCTCTTTTCTTAGATTGATAAAGACTGAAGAAAGGCCGTGTTGAAACATTGAACAAAATCTGAAATCTTAAGTTTTTTTTTGGGTTTTTTTAATGTTATATAAACAATAGATTTTTTTTTATATATATAAAGCCAGTCCGTGGATTAAGACCTTAAAAATGGATTGTTTTCAATCAAAACTTGAGATGGTTTAAATGCAAGTATTTTTGAGACAAAAAAAATTAGATTATGAGTATCAAATGAGAAGCACTTGGCTCCTTGGAGAGGTATTTCAAAGATATGTATCTGGATTTAAAAAAATAAGGAAAACAAATTACTAGATGACAATTGAAAATTGGGGAGGTATTGAAGAAACCTGGGAATGTGAAGAGAGAAATGTTACTTGACATTCCAAGAATCAATTTCCTAGATGATCGAGAAAAGATGACAATGTTTTATAAACTGTACAAAACAAAAATCTTTGTTTTGCAAACTTTTCTTTTTCCTCCAAGACAAAAAAATTCTTATAAAAATTTCATTTTTTTTTTGTTGCAGGTATACACGTTTTTTGGGTTTTTTTTTTTTTAAGTGCAAAGTTTTTAAACTGATTAGTGTTTTTTTTTATCATTTAACCACAAGCGAGGCAATAAAGCCACTAAGATGCAAGGAGTTACCACGTGTGAGAGAATATGAGGAAAAAAAAAAAAAAAAAAAAAAAAAACAGAGAGAATAAAAGTATAAAAATAAGAAGAGAAGATTACAATTGAGATTGCATTTAAATTTTTGAAGATCAAAGTTGACTGGGAAGCAAGTAAATAAACCATTAACATAGAACTTAGTTACATCTAGACATCTCACAATAAAAGGATGAGACCTAACTGCCAATCTAGTACTACGCTTAAATTCATAAAGTCTACATACCATAGGGAAAAGTCGATCGGAACAATTACCATGAAAATATTTATAGAAAAGACACAGGGAAGCTACATTATGGCAGTTGGAAAGGGACTAAAGCAGAAATGCCAGGTCAGGAATAATAACATTGCAGATTCTTTTGATTTTATCAAAACTCAAAATATACAGCAGGAGCACTAGACCATAAGTGGCAGCAATATTCAAAGAATGGACAAACAGTAGACTTATAAATATGTAAGATGGATTCCGGCAAGAAAAATTATCTATCACAGCACAAGGAACCAACTGTTCCTAGCAGCAGACTTAGCAATTGACACAATATGTTCCCACTTCCTGACGGCAGAAAGCATAGGCACCATATTTAAAGAATCTAAGATTCACAGACCTGCAGTCAATGTAAACTAAGTCCTTCACTCTCATCTCAAACACCCTACCCCAACCAAACTAGAAATATAATACACAAAATGTCAACATCTTGACATCTCACCTCATCTCAGAGTTGCCATTCTCCTAGACCAGTTGCCATCCAAGGCTATAGAACCCAGTCTGCCCTGCTATTTAGCCATAGCTGGGGGGGGATTAATACCTTCTCCAAGTGTATTAGCATGTAAGTGAATGTAATGGATTCGACTGGAATTCAAATTCAGCTCTCCAATTCTTCAATTTGAGCCACTATCCATTATTTCATTGTTCCTTATATATATATATATATATATATATATATACACACAATTTCACTGGATACAACAGACAAGGTGCTTTTATTTAGTTTTTTTTTTTTATACAATTTCATGTGATCTAATAATTTGTTTCTTTTCAGATGATAAATTATATAAAAATTGTAGAAATGTTCTTTTTATCCAAGCTCTTTTGGCTATACGTTCAGCCATTTTCAAGGATTAAATATTTTAACTCTTAAGTAAGATATAAAACATACATGCAACAAACTATTTCTTATTTAACAGTTAAAATATTTAATCCTTGGAAATGGCTAAACATATAGCCGAAAGCGCTCGGATAAAAAGAACATTCGGATACAGTTTATATAATTTATCATCTGAAAAAAAAAAAAAAAAAATCACATGAGAAATTGTATAAAAAACTAAATAAAAGCACCTTGTCTGTCGTATTCAATGAAATGTGCATGAAAGAAGGATTGCTGCCTAAATACAAAAATTTTAATTTATTCCATTTTGAATTTGTAGGTCTGATGAATTGGATTGTATTTACGATTCCAATGGAATAAATTATGACCATGGAGTACTAGTGTTTAAGCCTTTTTATTATATCCTTACTCTGTCCTGGACATTGAGTTCTACCTGGATTCTATTCTCTCGGAATTTTTTCTTCAAGAAATATACATGTATGTGTATGCACCTTTTGCATATGTATATTTACCACTAATATTATATATATATATATATATATATATATATATATATATATGAGGGGGGGGCATTGACATTGCATCAAATAGATATCCATTAAAAGTAGCATACATAGTATACACCCATGTAATATGCACCACCCCCAAATTTCACTTATAAAAAATGATTTTATCATTTTTGAGAGACCAAGTGACAATAGACTAATGTCTTTTCCTCTATCTCTTTATCCCATCTTCTAGTTAAATAAGTTAAAAAAGTAAAAGAGAATGATAAAAGTATTGTTAGTAACTCTATACTCATTGCATAAACGTGTAAAGCCATAAACAACCAAATGAGAAACACCTAAACGTCTTTTAAATGTAAACAGAAAAGATGCATATTCGCTGTTGTATTTTATAAGATGATACTATCAGTATCTGTCTATATTTCTGAGATGAGGTATTATGTACACTATTTACATTATTCAAACTAAATATGACGACAAAGATGAGGACAATAGTCCAAATAATGTAAATAGTGCAGACGATACTAATATGTGAATATTACATGCATTATTATTGGGTGCAGTTAAGTAAAACAATAGTTTTATCAAAATTATGCTTATTTTAAATACAGCTGTACTTTTTGAGGCTTCAAAATTAGGTCTTCAAAAGTTGCATCAGTGTGTGTGTGTGTGTGTGTGTGTGTAAATAATGACAAAAGAAAAACTTATCTTAGCTGACATGTTTCATCCTCTGATAGACAAATGTAAGGATTTTATTTTGCAACAAGTATTTAAAAACAAGAGTAAAAATGTTAGTTTTACAAAATTTTTAAATTTAAAAAAAAAATAAAATATTCCTAAGGTTACCCGAAAAGTCGAGGTAAACTATGAAAGATGCTAAGTGACATAATTTTACATCTAATTAAAAAAAAAAAAAAAAAAAAGCAAATAATTCTTTTTCTCTTTTAAATACTGCAATTAATATTTATACTATTTTAGTTAAGGAGTATCTTATATCTTAAACATTTTAAATGAAATGAGGTTAGGAATTTAACTGTTTTTCTTTAATTTTTAACATTTTTATCGTCATGTATGTTAGGTTGGGAGTAATTCTTTCAGGAATGAAGATATTGGGAAAAAAATTTGGAGGCACAGATTTATATTTTGATAAGATTCAATAGCAACACTCTTGAGAATTTTCCTTCTAAATAAGTTACTTTCTCTTTTAATAAGTGTGATATTCTTTAGATCAAAGTTGTGGTGGAATTTATTTTTGTATGACTAATGATTAAAGAAAAAAAAAAAAAAAAAATCGAAAATATGTTTTAGCATGTTGGGGGTGGAAAGAGCAACAAACTTTCACTTATACAAGTTTGGTTAAAGACCAACAAAAGCTTTTTGCTAAGGATTTAAAACAGAAAAAAAAAAAAACTAGTATATTTCAGATTCTTTTCCTGGTTTTCGGGACATATCTAAATATAAATTATCGAATGTCCCAGTACTTCCATTCATCATTAGCCATTAAACATATTGGGAGAGGGAAAAAGAAGGGGGAAAGAAGGGGATGAGAGGGGGGGAAAGAAGGGGAAGAAGGGGGGATGAGGGGGGAAAGAAGGGGGAAGAAGGGGATGAGAGGGGAAAAGAAGGGGATGAGAGGGGAAAAGAAGGGGGGATGAGAGGGGAAAAAGGGGGATGAGAGGGGAAAAGAAGGGGATGAGAGGGGAAAGAAGGGGAAAAAGAGGGGGAAGAAGGGGGATGAGAGGGGAAAGAAGGGATGAGAGGGGAAAAGAAGGGGGGAGGGGATGAGAGGGAAAAGAAGGGGGGGAAGGGGGATGAGAGGGGAAAAAAGGGGGGAAGAGGGGAGAAGGGGGGAAAAAAGGGGGAGGAGAGAGGGAAAAAGAGGGAGGGAGAAGAGGGAAAAAGGGGAGGGAGAGAGAGAGAGGGAAAAAGAAGGGGAGGGAGGAGAGAGAGAAGGGGAGGGGAGGGGGGAGAGAGAGAAAAAAGGGGGAGGAGGGAGAGAGAGGAAAAAAAAGGGGAGGGAGAGAGAGGAAAAAAGGGGAGGGAGAGAGGGAAAAGAAGGGGGGGGAGAGAGAGGGAAAAAAGAAGGGGGGAGAGGGAGAGGGAAAAAAAAAGGGAGGGAGGGAGAGGGAAAGAAGGGGAGGGAGGGAGAGGGAAAAGAAAAAGGGGGAGGGAGGGAGAGATAGAGAGGGAAAAAGAAGGGGGGGGGGGAGATAGAGGGAGGAGGGAGATAGAGAGGGAGGAAAAAGAGGGGGAGAGGAGAAATGGAAAAACACATCCACCCATGTGATATTTGAAACCAACAGAGCAGCACAAAGTCCTCAGACACTGAACAATTTCTTTTTAGGTGTGGCCTGCAAACTAGAAAAATGATTTGAACCAAAGACAGAACTTTCATTGGTCTTGAATCAAATTAAAGTTGCTTGAAAGATCAAAAACTAAAAACGGACACCTTGTAAAATTCATATGCCCAATATACAACATATAATGTAACGTACTTTAGACAAAGCCAATACTTTAAACTGCACAAATAGGAACAAAAAAATTAAAAAGGAAAAAAATAAATTAAGTACAAATGAACACAAACACAAGTAAATCAACAACAATGAATGAGTAAAAAGTTAAACACTATACAAAAGCTACAAATAACTGCATTTGGATCTGTTACCGCCCACTTAATAACTCTTAGGATAAGACAAACTTGCTAACCATAATACAGCATATATATATATATATATATATATATATATATATATATACACACAAAAACAAACACTTATATACATACATACACCCAAGTATAGGACTGGTGTATACGGAATAAATTCCAATAACCAAAAAATACTGTTCTTAAAAGAGTGCTCAATACAGAGTGGAGCAAATATAATTTATTTGAAAATTATAACGTTATAAAATCACTACAAAATTAGGCATTTTGTTTCAACACTTCTGGTGTCTTATCAATTGATGGTGTTGAATGTAGAATAAAGGGTTATTATTTTATTCTACATTCAACACCATCACTTGATAAGACACCAGAAGTGTTGAAACAAAATGCCTAATTTTGAAGTGATTTTATATTTATGTTATAATTTTCGATTTAATCATATTGCATTTGTGTATTTCAGGTACCCTGTTTGATGAAAGAGGTACTGTTAAATGAAACCCCTAACATTTCCAGACAGGTGGATTGGAAGGGATGGCCCAATTCCCTGGCCACCTTGTTCACCAGATATCACTCCCCAGGATTTCTTTCTATCCTCTTCTAAAGATACAGGACATCAGTGGATCTAAAGCAAAAGATCACTGATACCATTGCTACCACTGATGAGGCTATACTACAGGGAACATGGCAAGAAATTGAGTGCTGTCTTGATGTGCTTCGTGCAACTAACCCCTGCCCATATAGAGGTGGATTAAATTAAACAACTAAGCATGATTTACTTCACATTTTGTAACATTGTTCATTTGATTTTGTAATAAACATTTTAAATTGTAAAGAGGCTTTACGGACACCCTGTGTGTGTGTGTGTGTGTGTGTGTGTGTGTGTGTGTGTGTGTGTGTGTGTGTGTGTCTCTATATAATCATTCTAGTCTTATATTGAGCACTTTGTTGGCAGATTCTGTAAAATTTTGATCTATGTTCAATTGTATGATTTGCCATTATTTGCTAATCCATCTATAAGTGTCAATTTGGTGGATTAATAAAACAAAAAAAAAAAAAAAAAAAAAAAAAAATTACATTGTTTACATGTGGATTATTGTCCTCATCTTCGTTTCGACTGTTGTGCCCTCTGGCCTTCAGCAGGCGTATGCCAATCTGGGTAACATCAGGGAATTTCGAACAAAACCCTTTATTCAATCTATGAATAAAGGTATTCTTGTTCCACTGGCATGTCTAGGGATATCTGTAGTTTAAATAAAGGGTTCAGTTCAAAATTTCATGTAGATTATCTAGCTTGGCATACATCTGATGAAGGCCAAAGGGAAACAAAAGTCGAAATGCTAGGATAAGGACAATAGTCCACATGTAAATAATAACTCCTCATCTCAGAAATGCAGACAGAAAAACTAGTTCTCTTTGTTCAAAGATGTTGCACAATTTTTTTTTTCCTATAGAACAAGATTGGGGGGGGGAAGAGATTATCAACAGAGGAAATCAATTTCAATAAAAAGGAATATAGGCAAGAACCCCCCCCCACAAAAAAAAAAAAAAAAAACGTTTCTGAGGGGAGAACTAAAATCTTATCCTTGTTGCTTGCAACATTTTTATTTTTAAGCAAATGCATTCTCTGACCATCTGCAGGTTGCATCTATTCCTCACTGAGTAGCAACCCATTTCATACACCTTAAGCAGGTCGGAAAATAGATCAACCAGAAAATATTGAAAACAAAGATGAGCATATCAGTTAAAATAATTCATGGAATTTTACTTAATAATCAGAAAGAAGTTCAACACTATATGGCAGCATGGGAATAGACGTAGTTGGTAATAAAATATATATTTTTAACTAATTAAAAAGATTGTCAAAATGTGTAGACACAAAATTAGATTCTCAGCTGTAAACATTTGCAAGTCTCTTCAAATTTAAGAGTTCAGTTTGAACGAATGACAGTTGCCGTTGCCTTTTTTTTTTTTCTTTTCTTTTTTAAACCAATAAGATTCAAGGAATTGGTCAGTGTGTTTAGGGATTGAAAAAAAAAAAAAAAAAAGCCAATCAAATTATACTTTTGGCAAGATGCCTACTTTAAAAAGAGGAAAATAAAACGGGCTTTGATAAGTAATCCTGATTTTTTTGTCATTCAGAGATGAATTTGAAAACTTAAAAAAAAAAAAAAAAAAAAATTCTGTATCTTCCTCAAAAAATAAATGCCTGGAGATTTTTTGACTGTAATGTATGTTTTTTTTTGTTTTTTTTTTGTTTACATAGATTTTAATATCTCCAAATAATATTTCACTGTGGTACAATTTTTTAAAGAATATCAGAGATTGGGGGTGGGGAGAAAAAGCTGAAGGCAAATTGTCAGGAGGAAATTAAAAGTGTTCAGTTGAAATTTTCATTATAATCAAATTCATTTGTTATTTCTCAATTGTTTTCAAGAGAAAAGTTAGTAATCCATGTAGATAAAAGAAAAGCCGAACTGGACAGTGGTTTGTGAGCGACTGGGAAGAATGTCATATGGTAAATAAACAGTGATAAGATGGTACGATCAGAGATGGATTATTATTGTGATTTGATAATTGACTGCAATTTATCCAGTCAAATCATTCTTCCAGGCAAAAGAAAATCAATGCCCTGTTTGTGTACGAGAAAGAGAGACAGGAGAGAGAGAGAGAGATTCAAATTTTTTTTATTTTATTTAAATTACTTTGGATGACAATTAAAAAAAAAAAAAAAAACTCACACATGTAGTTATATGATTATTGAATTGGAAGATGGGCAAAAGAGGTTCAGGGGTATGAGGGAATGACAGAAAGAGGGAGGGGTATAGAGTGGAGGGTTAGGGTTAGTAGAAGAAAAGCAGTGAGAGGTTCAGGGGTATGGATGGATGGATAGTAAGGAAGCCAGCATGGATGGATGGAGGGGGAGGAGAGCAGAGAATCTTACATTATCTAGTATTCCAGAGGTATATGCTAATGAGTGATGCTAAATGGAAATACCTGGTATAGAACCCCAGACTGTCTGATTACTGTGTGTGTTTTTGTATATAAAACAGTTAGTCCACACTGAAGTCATTCCTATATCAACCAACCAAAGAAAAATTCCTTAAAACAAGCGACTGCACAAATCAAAATGCTGAGGACATACAAATAAAAAATAAGACACAAAGAATATCATACAGGAAAGAAAAAAAAAAAGTGACAATGATTTTAAATATTCTTTCTTTTTTTGTTTTAACGACTCAAGTTTTGTAGAAAATTATTTAAATTTGTAGTTTTGCCTTGTACTGTTGCGTGTTTTAGCCAAAGGCCGTGACAAGTTCTTTCGACCACCGCTACTGCCATGAATGTAATCAAGCCGAAAAGTTTTCTGGTTGTCAGAAAGTCGTTTCAACAGCCTTGGTTTGGCCCTAGAATTCGGAGATGATGTGTCATTGGTATCGACACGTTTGACTGAGAATGTATTCTGTTGGTCGACTGCTTTCTGGAGGGGAAAGCGCAACGTGTGGACCAGCAATGTGTCTGGGGTCTTTTCTAACACCACCGAACACGGCCTGGCAATGCTTGACAGTTTTTTCACATTTGACGACAAACAGCGCAGGTCTGAAGAAGGTGACTTTTTCGGCGTGAGTTCATCAACACTGAAAAAACCACTATCCTTTACTTCTGTCGAGCTATCGTTTTTCAAGCCATTAGAATCAGAGATTGCATATGCTTCGTCGGACATGTCCATTCCTTCAGGTGGAAGCTTTAATGAGGAATCCGTTACCTCACTGTCGCTCTTGGAATTACCATTTCCAACATGAACATGTGGATCAGACGATGTCAGTGATAATGATGATGATGATGAAATGACAGACTGAGGTTTCCTATCCAATGTTGAATTGTAAGAAGCGGTTTTTGAAATCAGGTTAGCTTCTGTATCATTCTGCGGGTGAGGGGCGGTGATTGATCCAAAATTTTTGGTCTTAGAATTAGTATTTGTTAAACAGGAACAAACAGAGCATTCTGGAATGTCCAAGTTGATTTTGTCAAGATCTTGGAAGCTGGATGGAAACTTTGACAATTCTATGTAATCGTCTTCCCCGTGAACAGCCAGATCCGTATTCTGCAGTGCTGGCTCGGTGATGCTGGGGAGGGATGAAGATGTGGGCGAGGAGGAGAAAAGTGGGGAAGAATCTGGCTGCTTCTGTTCAAGTTGAGAGGCTGAATGACAGAGTTTCGGCTGAGACCTTAAGGTTACTTCAGGTTTTAATTTGGGAGGTGCAAGTTGGTGCTGGGAATCCAACAGCAAAGGTGGTTGTTGAACTTCAATCTGCAACTGTGGAGGCATATCCAGATCATCATCCAGCTGCTCGAGAACCTTTTGGTAGGAAGATGACCCATCTATTTGCGGAGAAGGAGGCGTCTGCAGCTCACAGCCTAGGGTTAACTGTGGCATCTCGTTTTCCAATAGTGGTTCTGTAAGAAAATCAGGTTTATGACCTGCTTGCAGCTCAGGTGAAACTGCTGACAATTTGGCTGCTGAAGGTAAATCTGGCCGACATTCTAAGGTAGTCTGTTGACGCTCTTGTGACTTTTTCAAAGGTGAGACTGCAGTTTGAGAAAGACTCGATATTAAGGAATGTGTTTCTGCAGTAGAGACGGTTTCTGAATAATATTCTTTGTCATCTTGCGGTGGGGTCAAATAAGAATTGAAATAAAAAGCAAGAGTCTTAGAAATATTATTTCGCTCAATTTTGTTATCACATTTTATATTATCAGTAAAACTAATTTCAGTTTTATTATGACTACCAATATTACTTTCATCAATTTCGTTTTCATTGTTTATCGAATCAGCAATGATGTTATCATCAGCCATGGACTTATCCATATTATAACAACTCTGGTCTTCAAAATTACGAGGTTCAGAGTCTTTTAAAGCGGTGCCAGATAAGAAATCTCTTTCCTCGTTATATTCAGGCTGAGCAAAATCAGAAAGAACTGGAAAATTTTGCACGGGGAGGTTGAAAGAACTATCAAAATTTAACACAGGGATGGCTTCAAAACTGTTGCTGTTCTGGTTGTTGTTGCTATTCGATGACCCGATGGGAGGATCGGGTGGTGTGTCCAGATTCTGATCCGATTCATTTAACGTCCTCTCCACACTCATCACAGATAAGGACGAGCATTCGTAGCTCAAATTAGGGAGTGGGGTTTGCGGAAGAATGGTCTTTTTACATTGACCATTATTACCAAAAACAGACATGTTTTCTTTGTAGTTTGGTAAAGAGCACTGCTCTGGAGTCATGCTTGCTTGCGTCTTTTCCAAAGACTGGTTTAAAGACTGGCTACACGATTGCTCTAAAGTTGCCTCATTATATAAACGAGAATAATTCTGGAGTGGGTCTTGTGCTTGAACATCCAGATTTGAATAGGTTGTGTCCGAGTACTGAAATTCCTGAATGTGTTGGCTGTTGGAAAAATAAACATGTTTTACTGACCGATTATCAAAACCAGATTCATAGTTTGAAATTGAAGCGTCGATGGTTCCTAAGTGCAAGTAACGCGGGGTTTGCAAATAATCTAGATCTTGTATCACTTTCGTTTCAAAGTCGTTGGCTGGATAATGTTGGCTGTCGGCAATTAAATTTGGACCAATATGAGAATTCTGTTGAAAGGGTTGGGAACAGTAGCCTACGGTCTGACCATTTGGTATATATGGTGGAAAGTCCCGGTGAGCATTTAAATAAACCTCTATGTTGTCGTCGTAATTTTTAGGGCTGTCAGAATTTACCGACTCCCTGGTACCACCATCAGCAAAGTTGTGCTCCATACCCTTACGGAGACATTTAACATCTTCTCCACAAAATGGTACAAGCATGTCTTCTTGTGATTTTGCATATTTTTTAAGACCGTTCTCCTGAGCAAGTGATCTCTCTTGCAAGGTATTATAATCAGCAACAGCAGGGTCTCTCAAGGGAACATTCCTTTGAGGGTTGTAAAAGCAAGAGGAGGGGTCACTGTGTGTACCTTCGGTTACTCGTCTGCCTTCACAGTTGCCCAGGACCCACTCAAATTCAGAAGGGTCAGTGAGAATGACCTCCGAGACAGTTTCATAAGAAACATCTGAATTGTCGCAGTTCTTGAAAATGTCCTGAGGATCAAAACCTGTGAACGACTCTGGAGACTCGTCACTAAAAAGAATTTTTTTCACACTCTGCTGACTCAAAACTTTCCATTTTTCTCCCAGTTTAAACAGGCGCCGACTCTTTGACTTACCCGAAGAACATCGAAAGTTCCTCTTCAAAGACAGACTGGCACACTTCGACCCTGAGCTATTCCCCAACAATGGACTTAATGAATTCTTACCAGCATTGGTCGATAGAGGTTGTGTTGGCGTGAGACAGGCAGTGACTGATGAGGGGTGAGGTAATGCAGTTGTGGCCTTAACACAAGTTTCTCCGGTTCTCTTACCAAGAGATTTCCAATGATCCTCCCGAGTTTGGCCCTGCTCTACAGAAAAGTTCTCTTGTGATGAGGGGGACGAGTACTTAGCAGACTTAACTATTTCCCGATTTTCATTTTGATCATCTGTCGTCCCCCACTCCACATTTTTTGAATGGCGTTGCTGGATTTCTGGGAGAAACAATGAATGCGAGGTAGCCCACGTAGTAGAAGGGCCTTTGAATTTATTGGCCTCTTTTTCTGTTGTGTTGAAATCTAGTCGACTTGGGGAGTTGAGAAGACATTTCAGAGGGCTTCTACCATTCAGTGATGGGGAAGCATCCTGAAGAAGCCTGTTGGTTGATTTTACCGGTGTCTTCATGCAGGCCGTTAAAAGGCAAGAGTCTTTGATCAAAGTTTGACTGCTTTTAGCAGAAAGAATTTTAGTTTGCCTTTCTGAAACATTGTGTCCATTGTTCTCCGAGGTTACAGAGTCACTTTCTGATGTCGGTGCCTGACAAACTGGTTTGACATCAGGGATTTTCAGCACCGTGTCAGCACAGGATTTCGAAGGATTTATATGTGCCGATGTGGAGCTGCTAAAAGTAAGTAAAACAATTCTTCCTGGTGAAGAATACTCCAGGGAATTTGAGCTGAAAAAGAGAAAAGGAATTAATATTTAGTTAGGTAATGAGTTAGGGTTTAAAAAAAAAAAAAAAAAAAATTTTAAATTTAAAAGATTAAAAGCGGATTAAGATTAAAAGCGGATTAAGAGCAAAAGCAAAAATTACAAAGACAATCCTTTGTATTGATAACAAGGAATTGATTTCTTTTTCTCTTTAAACATAGTAAAAAGATCAATTTTTGGCAAATTTAATGCCAAGATCTAACATCAGAAAACTAGCTTATCAATACAAGACATGACCGTCCAAGGTAGGTTCTAGTTGGCGGAAGAGATAAGCCTGTCAGCAAAGATGAGCTCTGGTCGGCACAGAAGATAGAACTCATTGGCCGGGCGAAGTGGGGTCTAGTTGGTAGTTTAGAAAAGTCCTGTCAGCCAAGATGGGTTCTGGTTGACACAGAAAAAAGAAGCAGCAGTCTGGCCAAGGTTAGCAGGTGAGAACAAGCCTATCGAGATAGCATGGCACAGAGAGCTAGTTAGCTAGTCAATGTGTGCTCTGGGCTCTCTCTCTGGGCATCACATACATACAGTGATGGAGACAAGGTGCTTCATAATAAACACTGACTGCAAATTAAACTTTACCACACCAATTTCTTCTAGAATTGTTTCTCCTCACTAATGCATTTTTTTTTAGGGGACAAAATCATAAATACCTACTGTTTTAAAATTGTTATAACTTTTTTTGTATCATGTGTATATATTTTGCATACTAATAAAAGAATGGATGAGTAATATTTTGATGTTAAAAACGAAAAAAATTGAAACACAAAATAAGAAACAAAAAACAAATACATTAACAATTTAACATACTTTAACTGTTATTACTCCTTGTGGAGTTTGGTGGGGGTGGGGGGTGGTCTGGGAATAAGAAGCAAAATGGCTAAGAAGGCTTTTATTTCATAAAAGAAAAAAAGTGGCATGCTTCCTTGTGTTTACATACAAGAAGACACCAACATTTGTTTGGTCTTTCTTTCACCTATCCTATTTATTTGTCTCGTTGACAAATAAACTTATTATTTCATCCTTTATAAATAGACAAAATAATTCACCTTCAGAAAGGCTATCAGGTATATTGATGGTTGCCAGTAGCTTCTATAAAATTAGTCGGCCATGGATGATAGTAGCCACTAGTGGTCATCATCACTTTCCTTCACGATCAATATCCACTTGAGTAAAGCCTTCAAAATCATCATCAGAGTCCAAATCAAAGAAAAACTCCTGAATGAAGTCTTCGTTGGATGCTGATGCGGCCATTTTTGCTTAAAAAAAAAAAACTCAAAAAAAAAAAAATTAACGTGAGCTTAATTGATGTTACACCTTGTGTAGAGTCTAGAAGAATTCAAAATGGCATCAGAAAACAGAAGTTTAGCCTCATTCCAAAGCAGTAGTAGGCAATTTCTCAGCTTAAAATACCAGAAATAACAGTTGACAAGTGTTTATTTATAGCAACTGTCTCAAGGTGACAGAATGCGCCTAGAGTAACAAAGGGAGACAATTCTATGGCAACAATTTTCACCTGCAGTGTGGTAACAGTTAAAGAAGCAAATTTCACAATTTTTTTTTTTTTGCTTTTCCAACCAAACATGAAATAACCTTTACCAAGGAACACAAGAGTAGTCGTCATAACCCCTTAGAGTCATAGAGGCTCCATATGTACTGCAGCTGTAGATTCAGTGAGGTGTATTGGGCAAGACCACTTGGTAGAGTTAAACTATTTACAGGCTAATTTGAATTTTTCTTTCTACTAAACTGGTTGCCAACCAAGACTATAGAATCCAGTCTGTCCTGCTATTTATCCAATACTGTGGGTAGAAGAGATGGATTCATATCGTTCCCAAGGGTATTTGCGTTCAAGTGAACATAATGAACTTGACTGATTTCTCAATCTTAGCCGTTGTCCAATGAGCAACAAAGGTAACTGAATACTTTGCCCCCTCCTTTAAATAATCATATTTAAGCAAATAGCCACTTAAAAAAAGAGAGAGTAAACATGGATAAATGTGCTCACAATAAGACAGTGTCAAAAAGATGGCTTCCCCCATTACATTTTTTTTTTTAAACTCTCTTCACTCTTTGACAATGATTATTGTTTTAGAAAGCAATGATTAGAATTGGAATAAAACCTAAACATATGAAAGTGAATTTATACATTTTCTTTGTTCTTGAGAATAAACAAAAAATAAACACTATTTATTTATTAGATTATTTATTGGAATGGCTGGCAAAACATTGGCTAATTGTCAATTTATTCAAACTTTATCAAATGGTAAATAAGGATTTCCTTAGAGTTGGTTCACATTTTAATAATTTACTTAATGTTTATAAATTTAGGAATAAAATTGTTTTCACATTTATTTCATTATAAATTGGTAAATGATAAATATTGTACTGCATTAGTTTTTAGAATGCCGTAAATATAAAATATTCTTGTAAATAAACTATCTAATTTATTAGATAGTTTATTTACAAGAATTGTTTTAAATAGCATTTAATATTTTTGTTGTAAATTCTAAAAAACAGAAACCTTTATAAATTCACTCTCATCATATGTTTAGGTTTTATTCCAATTATCACCTTTTAAAACAAACATTGCCAACGAATGAAGGGAATTAAAAAACGTAATGTTATTCATTGTGAAAAACGTCCTCTTGACACTCCGTCTTACAGTGGGCATGTTTATCCATGTTTGCCAAAATATTTATATTAAGCTTTATGCATATAGCAACTTGTGACAATTTTATTACTCTAAGTTTAATTACTGCAATTGCTGTGAAGGGTATATTTTTCTCGTGGCAGTTTGAAATTAAAAGGAAAAAAAATTTTTTTTTTTAAAATAATAAAAAAATGAGAAGCCAAAAGGTAACTCCTTGACGGCTGTTGCAATAATTTCACTTTCTGATTGGGAAAATATATGAGAATTTTTGTCCATCAAATCTGCATGCTAATTGAAGAGAACCAAAAAGTTGAATACCATCTTCCAAGAAAAGCCTAATCTATTTTCCAGTAATGAATTGGCAAAGTTTAACCGTGGTGCCAAAAAAAAAAAAAAAAAAAAAAAACAAAAAAAACAAGGTTTTAAAAGGCAGTTTTCTGTTGACATTGTTATTACTGTATACTACCAAGACTCCCTCAGCAATCCTTACTTACAAGATTATAAAAATACGTGAACCAAATACAATTTGATATTTATTATTTACCATTTTAGAAAGAAATACATTCTAAAATATTTTTATTATTTTTTTTTTTTCAACATCATATCCCCTCTCCATGGTGACGCAGCCGATACTGATCAGGTATCGGCTTGTGTGCCAGCCACCAGCAACAACGTTCCTCATTTTTAATCACACATTACGACTCCTCTTGGCAATTTATAGTCCAAAGATGGATAACTTCCAGTTCACCTATGTTCCATCAACTTCATCTATGCCCTTCCGTAAGCAAACAGAATAATGGTTTCAATCTGGTAAGGAATATGGCAACATCCTTGGCTTGAAGTGGTAAGTAAAAATAGTGTTTATTATTTTTGTAAAATGTCAAGAACAAAGAAAAAGCATAATTTCACTTTCATCCATTTCAGTTTTATTAAAAAAACTCAGTTATTAAAAACTGTAAGATCAACTTTTCTTGCATTTTAGCTTAAGTAGAATTTGCATATACACTCCTTTTCTGGAAGCATTGTTGGAACAGTCTCAGGAAATATCTTACTCACTCTGACATGCTTCATCTTTACAAAAGTCAGAATAAAACAAAAATGGAGTATTGCTGTCATAGATGGACTTCAGCTAATTAATCCTCACTTTCCACTTCAAAGTCATTTACTACAATTTCTCACACATCCTTAGAAGTAGATAGATACATCTCCTTTTAAGTAAATTTCATTATCATGGTTTCCCATCTCTAACCTGCCTTTGAATTGGCAAACATAAAATTTTGTTAATGATTTTAGATAATCATAAAAGCAGAGTCCTTTGAAAAACTGACCACTCATCTAGCTTTTGGGTGGTCTACTTTTGTTGAACACAAGTGGACGGATAGTGGGGTGGGTTCCCAACCAGTATCCAAATAAGCAGTGAGAGGCAGGAAGTCAGCATTGAGTAGGTGATCAACAGTAATTAAGTGACCAGTAGTCAGAGAGGAAGAAGGGACCAGAGAACAGTGAAGAACCAGCAGTTGCCTAAGCAGTCAGTGAATATAAGGGTTCCCCTCTCTTTGCCAAAAGTTAGTAAGATAGTAGCCCACTTTCATGAAGCCGAAGGAAAAATACCACGGTTAAGTGAGAATTCGTATTGTTGCTATTTACCAACTAGTGCCTTGAAAAGCATTTGCCATTATTCTTTGCTGAATTTGTTCATGGGCAAGGAGACAAACCCAAGAACATTTCAAACAGAGTGTATATGCAGACACAGCCGACCACGGAAGTCATCACAGCTGTGAAGTGCATGACATGTGGAGTACGTCATCACAACACTAATGATTCTCAACATGGCTCTTTAGATTTAAATATTCTAAAGCACCACTTTTTAAAACTAACATTGCTGAAGGAGTGACCGTAGTAAAAATAATAGCAATGTATTAACAGGAGTCAAAGAATTAAGTCCTTAAATTGAACAAATTATGGAAAGAAAACATTTTTTTAAAATGTTAAATTGCTTTAAGTGAAAAAACAAAGAATCAGTAGCAAAAATATAAAATTAGTAAGAAAAAAAAAAAAAAAAAAAAAAAAAGTTTATATATATATATATATATATATATATATATATATATATATAAATAAATACACACAAAGGATTGCCAAAAAGTTTTCAGCCTGATGACAAAATATTTTTTTTTCCTCGAATAGGTGAAAATTTACAGCACACCTTTCAAAATAGGTTTTCTATCTATCAAAGAGTAGAATATGAAAATTTACCTGAAAAATCTCTCCCCAACCAAATACAGAAATGCATGTCTTTTTTTAGTCTATTATTATGATAAAAATTACAATTTCTGACTCATGTCTGAGATCTGTTCCTACGGCGCAACATAACCTGATTTTCGATGTAGGTCAGAACTCACCTACATAAGCACCCACAAGACTGCCTTACACTTGGGAGTCATAATAAAGATCAAAAGTAAAACGGACACAAATGAGAGAAAGCAAATGTAGCACAATCCAATATGGCAAACAGCCAATGAAGAAACAATGCCATATTCCTCATATAGCGAAGTGTGACATTTTAGAGTAGCATAGCCTATATATGTACGAGCAAATTGCTAGCGAGGCAGACTCTCCTAGCACCGGCGATGGAATGACAAAGCACATGCATCAGCGAGTCAGATCGAGGCTGGCAGCGTACCCAATATGAAAATTCTCAGGCTCGGCAAGAACGTATAAAAAAAGGCAAGTTCTTGTAGAGTTAGCAGAAAGAATCTTGTGCATTCAGTGTAATACACGGTGTTACATATTAAACCAGAATTTGTTGTGAGGGTGTTTCCAGTGTCTGTGCTACAGAATCTCAGCTTTCCTGCTACAAGGACTTTATGTATTCGTCAAATAAATATCAACACTTCTGCTGCTGTAGGTGTACATATGCATCTTTTACGAAACGAAGTGCCTGCTGTTGATTTATATATAGATCTTGTTTTGTTTCAATAAATTTTTTTAACATTTGTAAGAAAAAAAAAAAAAATTTAAGTAAATGTCATCGATTTGCACTCAAACTGTGCCCAAGTTAATACAAAATTCTGTGACGACACAATCAACGAATAGAATTTTTTCAAACGCTGTGGAAAACCCCATACAGCATATCTCAAGAGCTTGAGGCACATTTTAAACATATTACAGAGGACGCTACAGCAACACTTGAAATTTGCTCATTGGATCATTTGAAATTAACAAATTTCTCATCTTTAAAATGGAATGATTTTAGTTTTGTGTTAAAGAATCTGATTTCCAAAACACTGAAAGGCTGGTCTCTAGCTTTTGTGTTATGAACTAATGCTTAGTGCTATTCCCAAACCAATGCAGACACAATAGCATACACTGCAACCTATTTTGTCATGCAACTTTATTATATTGTGTAATTTCTAAGGAATTAATGGATTTCATCTTTAATCCGACATTTGTGTAAACATTAACTTAGTGTTTGGGTGGATCTCCAGTTTCTTATTGTTTTTTTTTTTTTTTTTAACATTATGTCTTCTGTTCTATGCATTTAAGTAGGCTAGTAAATAACTTATACCCTTTGTCAGGGATCGAACCTTGAAGGACTGATGTCTGGCTGAGCAGTCTAAAGTATGCCAGATCTAACAGTAGCTCCCCCCTACAAAAGAAGATCCTGGCTCAAACCCTTTCATCTCTCAAAGATGCAGACTGATCAATATAATTCACTATTGTAAGAAAAAAAAAAAGCCATCTATTCAATTCAAACATGTGTATCTACTAAAATAACGTTCAGAGTAATATGAAATTGATACTGTGTGGGGTGGGGTGTACTTTATACTTCAGAGTATCCGATTGAAAACCAAAATGGCAGTGCCCATGAGAAATTGCCATTAGTGTTTTTGTAGTTTATTTATTCCCAATAAATGACAATTCTTCTATTTTGTCTCAATATGAGCCAGCACAGCCAGGCAACAATGCTATATTAATGCAAAAAATAAAACGAAAAACTAAGCAGTCATCACTTCGAAGCTCAATTGAGGACAAAAACATGTGCACAACCACTTAAAAAAAAAAAAAAAAAAAAGTTTATTTCATTTTTACTCTATCTCTCTTTTTAGATGTTGTACACATATTTTTGTCCTCAATTGACCTCTGAAAACCAAGAAACAACAACTGGTTAAACCTTGTTTTGTTGTTATATGTTTTTGATCCACCATTTCATGGTGAATTGGTATGTTCAGTTTTATGTATTTATTTTGTTAATCTGTAAAATGTGGTGTGTGATGAGTTTTAGCCAGGAATCATCATCATTTTTTAATAATTTCTTGGTTTCATTTTTAAATTTTTGTTTCTTTTATGACCTTATGTTCATTTTTTTTCTTTTTCTGTAAATATTACTGTTATCAATGTCGATAATATTATGAAAAAATAAATAAATTAACACAATGTCATAAGAGATAAAAAGATGAAAAAACGAAACCAAGAAATTAATAAAATCCTGACTAAAATTCATCAAACACCACACAAAAACACTCACACTTTACAGATTACCAAAATTCATCAAACACCCCATGATTGTGTGTGTGTGTGTGTGTGTGATCACTTTAAATCTTATTTTTAGTGGATACCAGTATTTGAGTAGATATTGTTTATTTACTTATTTTTCTCTACCGTCCTGAATGTTAGAGAAAACTTATTAAAAATAAATAAAAATCCATTACTTTTCTCTCACACACACATCATATATATATATATATATATATATATACACGCACACACTTTTAAAACATCTTTTTTTAAAAGCTTTAACTGAAATAATTGTGTCATCATTATTAAGATTTTTATATTTCTTCTATTTGACACTGAAGTATATTTATAGTGATGAGCCTGAATTCTAATTAGTGTTTTAGGCTAACGTACCTTAGCACTGACGTTCTTGTGTTGAGCTGGATGTGTTGGCTTACATAAAAATTACAACCGAAAATTTTAAGTTATTTTTTTTTTTTTAAGCATTTGAATCTTACAAAGAATATTGAATCTGAACACTAACTTACCACAGATATTTGAGCTGAAAATAACCTGAAATTGGTGACAATGAATTTCAGACACTTTGACATTAGTTACTTAAAAAAATATTTTTTTTTTAACTAAATGTTAGAATGCCATATTTAAATACAAATCTATATTAATATGAACACAGAAAAACAATTATCAAGCATTGATACCATTTGCAATGATAAATATATGGCGAACAAGATTGTCCTTATATAAATCAGAAGCTTTGTTTCCAACAGGTCTTAAAATACAAAGTTGTGTGGATGATCATACAAATCGGTGCATATGCAGTCATAAATTAGCGGTAACAATTTGTTCAGAGAATTAGCAGTAACAATTTTGGAGGTGAAGAAACATACTTGATAAAAGTAAAAGCATACAAACCTATTTTCAGGGTACATTTTTGGATGATTGGAAACATTGGAGACAAACTGTTGTACATTGTATCCATTTGTAATGAGGCTGTCAAGTTGTCGGTAATTAGATTCATTCTTTACAAATGCCAAATGCTCTGGAGAGTTTAGATGCTAGATGAAGGAGATAAGAGAAAGGAAAATTGATTAATTATTTACTGTTTTGCCAGTAACATTTTTATCATTAGACAAACTGACTTTTTTATCCTGCTAAAATGGACAAATTCACATTTTCGCTAACTAAATTAATGCAACAAATGCAAATTCCTTTTTGTCATTTAAAATGACACACAGTAGAAAAAGAAAAAGATTTTTTTTTTCTAAAGTAGGTGGTATCTACAATAATTTGCTGAAAAAAAAAAAAAAAAAAAAAAAAAAAAAAAAGATCAGAGCATGATGAAAAAGACTTGATAAATACAAACTTATTTTCTTGCATCAACAAATAGGCCCAAGATTAGTATAGAGGTTTTTTTAGCATCGAAAACTTCTAATCAAAATTTAAAAAAAGAAAAGTGAAAAAAATTCTTCATTAAAAAAATTTTTTCTTAAAGTGTCTATTTTATATCTTATGCATAAAAGCAAAAGTTTTTCTAATCAAATAATGTCTTAGTTTTATTGCAATTTTTATTTTACGACTGAGCAGATTTTCGGTAAATGCTGTTTCTGTTTGACAAAATTGATGATTTAAATTCTTCAAAGAGTCCTGATTTTAACTAATATAAATATGAAATTTCATAAAATTTAGCAAATGAGGAATAACAGATGTAAAAAAAATTTCATTCATTTGTGAATAAGTCCTAAAGATTTCATTAAGATCCAACAATTTGATTTTTGCAAGAATTTCCTATGTGTTTTTCACAAGAAAGAGAAATTTTCCACACTAATTATTGACCCACTTTCTTATGCAAAAAAAAAAAAAAAAAAAAAAAAAAAAAAAAAAACGAGATTTTTAACCAAAATTTCTAACATGCTAGAAATAATTAATAAGGTTTTATGATATATCAAAAAATACTTTGGTCTTTCTGCTGAATAATAAACATTTTGACAATAAAACTGTTTTTATCAAGTCTGGTGCCTTTTTTCCATCATGGTAGGCTTTTTTTTTGGTGGGAGATATATATATATGTGTGTGTAAAAATATATAGAAAATAGGAAGGATAATGAAGTTTTCGCTCTTGTTTTGAAACATGAGAACTCTTATGTAGCATTGGAATCATTTTTAAATAATTTTATATATATATATATATATATATATATATATATATATATATATATATATAAATAAAAGAAATAATCACACAGAATCAATCAGCAATATTAATGCTATTATTGGCGACATCCATCGCTAGTAATGTATAATGTATGCATTAAAATACTGTTAATCCATAGAGTGATGTGATCCTCATTTATAAAACTGTTGTCTGTTGTTTCCAGTTTATATTTTTTTAAAATGCAAGTACTAAAAAAAGAAAAAAAAAAGAAAAAAGAAAGAAGCTGAAATGAACATGTCTCTTCCTTCCTCAAATTTTAGAGAACACAATCATATCCCTGTTCCTATAAGAGACTTAGAATCTATTTGAATTTTGCTATAACCCTAGTTAATCCCTTCCCATCTTTTAGTACGTTTGGCCATCATGGCTCTCTGCAATTTGCTCTTAATAACTTTTAGACCTTTTGCCATCAATTCCAAACCCTGCTCTGCCATCCATTTACTCAAGCTCACTAGGTATTACACCTTCAGTCCGTCATGCGAGTATCAAATTTTCCAAGTTCTATTTCCCCATTATCTGTGCCAGAAATTTCAACTGTCTCTTCCAGTGTTCTTTTTATTGCCATTGTTTCTAGAACTTAGTCATTGCTCACATATTCAAACCATGGTATTCTCAGCATCCTTCTGTAGATTGACATTTGTTTTCCCCAAGCCTCTTCATCTGTGAGGAAAATGTCCAGCATTCACTGTCATATAGGTAGACTGATAGAAAAGTTCAGTACCCTTCCTTGTTTCTAACGATATTTTTCAGTTTCTTAATACTTGGCTATCCCCAATGTAGGTTTGGATTTTAGATATCTAAATTGTTGTACAGCTAAGTTAAAAGACAATCTATATTTACCTTTTTAACGTCGTCAAAACGTATTTCACAACATTCACAAAATCCTTGACGGAGTTTCTTCTCTGCCAGTTTCCTTCTTTCCCAGTTGACCAATCTCCGACAATGGACATTTTTAGGGATTTGTTGGACTGTTTGATTTGGAACACTAATAAAATAGTAATCAGAAAAATTGAACAGAAACAAAAAAAAAAAAAAAAAAAAAAAAAAAAAAATAAGAGGGAGAACAAAAGAAACGAAACAAAAGGAAAAAAAAAAAGTAACGAAAAAAAAAAAAAAGAAAAAAAAAAAAAGAAAAAAAAAAAAAAAAAAAAAAAAAAAAAGTAACTAAAAAAAAAAAAAAAAAAAAAAAAAAAAAAAAGGAAAAGAGTAACGAAAAAAAAAAAAAGGAAAAAGAGTAACGAAAAAAAAAAAAGGAAAAAGAGTAACGAAAAAAAAAAAGGAAAAAGAGTAACGAAAAAAAAAAAGGAAAAAAGAACGAAAAAAAAAAAAAGGAAAAATGTAAAAAAAAAAAAAGGAAAAAGAGTAACGAAAAAAAAAAAGAAAAGAGTAACTAAAAAAAGGAAAAAGAGTAAAAAAAAAAGGAAAAAAGTAACGAAAAAAAAAAGGAAAAAAAGTAAAAAAAAAAAAAGAAAAAGAGTAACGAAAAAAAAAGGAAAAAGAGTAACGAAAAAAAAAAAAAAAGAGGAAAAAAAAAAGGAAAAAGAAAAAAAAAAAAAAAAAAGAGTAACGAAAAAAAAAGAAAAAGAGAAAAAAAAAAAAAAAAAAAAAAAAAAAAAAAAAAAAAAAAAAAAAAGGAAAAAAGTAACGAAAAAAAAAAAGGAAAAAGAGTAACGAAAAAAAAAAAAAAGGAAAAAGAGTAACGAAAAAAAAAAAAGGAAAAAGAGTAAAAAAAAAAAAAAAAGGAAAAAAAAAAAAAAAAAAAAAAAAAAAATGTAAAAAAAAAAAAGGAAAAAGTAAAAAAAAAAAAAAGAAAAAGAGTAACGAAAAAAAAGGAAAAAAGTAAAAAAAAAAAGGAAAAAAGAGTAACGAAAAAAAAAAAGGAAAAAAGAGTAAAAAAAAAAAGGAAAAAGAGTAAAAAAAAAAAGGAAAAAGAGGAACGGAAAAAAAAAAAAAAAAAAGGAAAAAAGTAACGAAAAAAAAAAGGAAAAAAGTAACGAAAAAAAAAAAAGGAAAAAAAGGAAAAAGAGTAACGAAAAAAAAAAGGAAAAAGAGTAACGAAAAAAAAAAAAAGGAAAAAAAAAAAAAAAAAAAAAAAAAAAAAAAAAAAAAAAAGAAAAGAGTAACGAAAAAAAAAAAAAAAGGAAAAAAGTAAAAAAAAAAAAAAGAAAAAAAAAAAAAAAAAAAAAAAAAAAAAAAAAAAAAAAAAGGAAAGAGTAACGGAAAAAAAAAAAGGAAAAACAGTAACGAAAAAAAAGGAAAAAGTAACAAAAATGAAAAACAGAAAAAGAAACAAGGCAGTAAAAAAAAAAAAAAAAAAACAACCCCCAAGAAAACACTTTTTTTTTCAAATACCTACTTTTTCTTTTTTACTTTCTGAATTCGACTGGGAACATCTCCTTGACCCTCAGATTCAGCAGACCAACAACCGACAACATCTTTCTTGTTCTTTCGTTTGGTTGCTTCTTGCGTTGTTGATGAGTTGACAGCATTAACTCCAAGAAGCCAGTCATCAAATGGACAGCTGCCCTGTGTGGAATTCATGTTCAGGTACGGCCAGCTGTTTAATTCCATTTGAACTGGGCGGAAAAATTTATTGAGCGCTTCAAATTTGATAAAAGGCTGTTTCAAATTTCTTGCTGGAATCATAAACAGAAAGAAAAAAATATAAATTAAAACCTGCAAAAATTAGGCATGAAAAAGACATCTGCCTGGTTTAAAAAAAAAAAAAAAAAAGTGTTGTAAATCATTCACCGATGATAGTGATAAAATGAGTTTTTCTAGCAACATTTTTTTTTTTTTTGCTAAAAAAGAAAAAAAAAAAAAAAAAAATGACAAAAAAGAGGTTCAACTTTAATTTGCTCAGCACAGTGGATATAATAACATACTAACATTTGTTTAGTTATTTAAAGCCAAAATTATTTTTATTATACTTCATTCCTTGGTCAAGCACTGACTGGGCTGGCACTTGAACCCATGGATTGGCTGGTGCTTGAACGTATGTCCAAGTGCTAGTTGTTTCTTACAAATAGAGTCTCCAGTTAAGCGTTAGTTAGGTTTATACTTAGCACCTCTACCAAAGCCCACAAACATAAATTCTGTAGGTAGCTAGTCCTTTTTGGTAAGGTCTGGCCCTTTGCAAGGGGGTGCTCTAAGTATAATTTAGGCTATGTTAAAAGTGCAGAGTTTTCATAAGCTATTCTAAATTTGAAAAAGAACATATATCCATGAATAATTGTAAAGCTCCTTTTTAACTGGGTGCTCCACTAGTATAGCCCTATGCCAGACTAAGTATACTAAATATTTCAAAAACACCTGTTGTATAGTGTTAGTGTAAGTTAATGTCATGGATCATTTACAAGAAATTTCTTTTCTTTCTTTGGAATAGGATGGAAGGAAAGGAGGAGGTGGAGCAAAAACTTTTTTTCCCTTTTACTATCTGTACCAATCTCAAAATGAGATCAAACAATGGAAACCAAACCAAAAGGTTTATGGACACTTGTCAATTGCATAAAGGAAAAAAAATTAATCCCAAACATGAAAAGACAATCTTACCTTTGCACAAAAGCTTTTTACTTTTTGGACGATCCTGAAAGACAAAATGATAAATACATTAGAATTCTGCTTGTTCCTGTTAGCATGTGCATTACACCATGTCATTACCCCAGACAAATAACGGACCACAGATTGCAAAGAAAGACAGCACAAAAATACATGTCAGTGACATGGCTTGGCATCAATGAGAAAAAGGGACTAAATTTAAAACCCAGCAGACGTTATAGAAATTTAGCCCAGTTCAAAAATACTATTTCACTGATGACTATAGGGATTTTCCCCCACAAAATTTATTATGCTCCCACATGTCAAATAAATAAAAAAACACAAAAGAGCGTGTATATAAAAATCATATTTTCTCTCAGTGTGAATTGTGCTTCCTGGATCGATTATTCTTCTAATGATGACATTATTTTGTGTATGTGTGTGTGTGTGTGTGTATAGCTAACTACAAACCAAACAAATAATACAGTAGTCCACTGCTATTAGGCAGGCAAACCAGTGTACCACAGGTAGGTGGTGGACCCCCAAGAATTTGCTCTCGTACCCTCAATATTGCTCACTTTTTTAGAAATTCCACCCTATTTTACTATTTTTGGGCTATCTTCATGATAGACAGAACAAACAGTAATCATTGAATGGGTCCTAATTCATTTTAATAATTACACCACTTATTTTCCACATATTTTACCTTGTTGATCAAACAGCTCAAAGTTTTAACACCTTGGTCGTTTCATACCTGATCCAATTGTATTAGTAATAATTACACATGCTTACTTTATATTTATATTTCATGCACAATCAAAGAGTTTCTATAATATTGGACTAATTAACAGGAATTCAATCAGATATGACAGAGAATATAAAAAGAAGTACTTTCCTCTTGTTGATCATGTTCAATTTCACTGTCTAACAGTAGACATCAAGAATCTCTCTCCTAAATAAACAAATATAAAGAGTGCATAGGGCGTCTCAATGGGACTTGCAAGAGGAAATACTTTTGAGGACAGTTGAAATTTATTGCATAAAAATCTGCTGTAAAACACTGAAATAAGTTGAAATTTTGGTAATTTGCTTTTTAAACCCCGTGCTAAGTATCTAATAAAAATTTCCCTGAATAGTTACATTTACGTGTAAATTTACATGCTTAATTTGAAAATAACAAAGAAATCTTGATAAAATCTACTTTTTTGGAGTTATCAACAATAAAAGTTTGGACTCGTTCGTGTCACGGCAGCCATTACTGGTGCTGTTTGCATGTATTTGCTGCAGAATAGACATTCACTTGTCTCAATTATTGTGCACACACTGATGCAAACAATGCCAAAAATGGCTGCTGTGCTGTAGCTGACAATGACACAAATGAGTCCAAAAATTTATTGTAGATAACCCAAATTGGTAGAGTTTATAAAAATTTCTTTGTTACTTCTTAATTAGGCATGTAAACTTAGGAAAAAAAATAAAAAACTATTCGGGAAATTTTTATTAGATACTTAACGCAGGGCTTAAAAAGAATGTGTGTGTGTGATATATATATATATCATATTAGTGGTAAATATACACATACAAAATATATAAATATATACACATACATATATATTTTGTATAAAAAAAAATTTCAAGAGAATAGAATCCAGGTAGAACTCAATGTCCAGGACGGAGTAAGGATATAATAAAAAGGCTTAAACACTAATATTCCATGGCCATAATTTATTCCATTGGAATCATAAATCCAACTCATCAGACCTACAAATTCAAAAAGCGTTTTTTGGAATTTGTAGGTATGATGAATTGATCGTATTTATGATTCCAATGGAATAAATTATGACCATGGAATATTAGTGTTTAAGCCTTTTTATTATATATATATATATATATATATATATATATATATATATATATATATATGCAAAGTTATAAAATTCAAAACCTACTTCTACTTTGGCTTTCTTTGCTGAGGGTGGAGCTTCTTTCACATGTTCATAATTTCTGCACTGCTCTTTCGTAAGCCATTTCATTAAACCTGAAAAATTAGGAAATGTATATATCATGCCAGACACAGTCAATGGAAATCGAATATCAATAAGGAAATTATTTTTTTTTTTTAAAAAGCCACCTATATAGAAGTAAATTGGAAGAAAACAAACCATCATATATTTTCTGTGTGAATTTCTCAAATGAAGAGTTATTACTTGCACTATTTACATCTGGACTATTGTCCTCACCTTTGTTGTTGCTATCACGTTTCTACCACCGTGCCCCCCAGCCTTCATCAGGTTTACATCAATCCGGGTAGGCTTCAGGGAATTCAAAACTGAACCCTTTACTTAATCGGGGGGGACTGTTCTCGTTACACTAGGGGAGATATCCTTAGACATGGAGCCTAGTTATTATTTTTTAGAACTGCTCGCCATGTTTCCAGTGAGCCCAAGCATACATTACCCGATCCAGGGATTGAACTCACGATTACTATGTCACCAAATTTCTACAAGGCATAGTCTAGTGGATTAAACCATTGGTTTATGAATAACCAGTTTAATATCTACCTGAAGAAAGCCAGAGGATATAACGGCCAAAATGCTGAGGTAAGTACAAAGACGAGAACAATAATCCAAATGTAACAAGTGTTAATAAAAAATACCTTGTCACCCCAAACCAATGTAAAAGGCATTTGACAGAGAAAGATAATAAGATGGAATTAAATGATACTTAACATCAAAACAATCAACTGTGTTTTATTTTATTGTCTTTCATATGAAATTACTGTATTTTCCGGACACACTTTTTTCCCTAAAAAATACATGTGCATCTTCCAAGATGAATTTAAGGCAACACCCAGGTTTGATGTAACCTTGGACAGTCACCTAATTGGCTTGACTAATAGGGATGTGGATTTGTATGTTGAGTCATTACAATATAATGTTAGCTATCTAAATAGCCTTTTATATGATGTAACATCAGTATTTAGCTATTACAAGTATTTTCAAGACTATAAACCTTTCTGGAGCCGAGCCACAAGCTTAAACATGCTCTGTTTACTAACAGTGCCAGGAGCCTTTCTGCTCTTGACTGGTATGTCATTGACATACAAACAAAATTGGATGAGTGATTAATGTAAACAATATGTGGTGCCAGTACGTGAGGGATGCATGGTGAATGTGTTGTTGTATGAGAATGACTTTTTTTTGCTTAGAAATTTCATTCCAATATTAGAGTGCATCTTCCAAATTGAAGCATCTCGTAAGCTGGAAAATATGGTACTTGTTTGCAAAAGAAAACAATTACATTTTGACTACTTTAAGTGTTTTAGTAACTTCGCAATCATCAAATTTTTTTATTACTAGAATATTTTTACAACACACTGAAGCATGTTGAAATCAATTTAGTATTTTTGAAGTTATCACTAACATGTTTTTGTAGAGATTTACAAATTCTACATTTTATTCAATTTTGCAAACCAATCAGATTTTAATTTTCCTTAATTATTTTGGAAAAATTAATGAAAGTTCATTCTACTAAGCTATGCACCCTAGTAAAACCTCCTTACATGTTTCCACTTGTCCCCAAAATTTGGTTTCAATCGGTCTATGTATGGCTATTTTAGAAGGCCCAACAGATGGACTAACAGAATTTTATATATAATATAGATAACTTTGTGTAAGTTGTCTAAACTAAGACAAAATCACTCGTTTTCAGGTAAAAACAACTTGATTCTGACTAGTGATTTCAGCTAGTTTAGACAGCTTACACAAAGTTTTATTTTTTTTTTTAAATTGGTTTTTGCAAAGTTATGAAAACAGCTAAAAAAAATGTCTGGAATAAGACATTTTTTTTTTTTTAAAACTACCATACAATACAAAGCCCAAGAGACACTAAAGGTAGAGGGTTACTGAGGGAAGTTATTGTATGGATACAAATAGTGCAGATGAGGAGAATATATAAGATTGATAACTGTTGACTCTAGACTTGAAGAGGGTAAGATTATAGTGATCAGGAAACTAACCTCTCGGGAGCCTGTTATACAAAGTAGCTGATCGAGTGGAATTTCCATTTACGAAGGGAATGAGAATGATATGACTGTCCACATGGCATATCACGTTTTTTTACTGAAAAGGTCTGAACTGGTGAAACTAAGGAATGTAGGTCGGTTAAACTGTTGCCATGGAAACAGCGACAGAGGAGCAATAGAGTGTGAGTGTGTGTGTGGCATCTGTCAGTCTTGAGAAATCTTGGATGTGCACCCAAAGAGTTATGCCTCAGCTCCCGATAGGGGTGCATTAAGCAATGCTTCTCCCTGACGGCAAGGCTCTGTTTCTTCTCCCCTTGCTCCAGCCATTGGTTTAAATCATGTCTCCATCATGAGATCGTTGGCAACGTCTTCACACCTCTCAATGCTCATGTCTGACACCCTCATGTCTCTTTTGCAGATGTCCTTAAATCGCCCTTGTGCTCTCTTGCCAGTGGCCAGTTCTTCATACAGAAGGACCATCAGAATCCAGTATAGGGTGTACTTGCCAAGGAGAAGGGCGTATAAGCAGAGTAACTGAGCACAGGTAAGAACTACTGCATTGGTGACAGAGTCGGACTTCTACACCTTTTCTCTACCTGCTTCTTGCAGGGAGACTATTATTTGAGAAACAGATACATTTTTGAGAAGCATGGTTAAGGCTTGCTACATAATCATATTTGTTGCACATTATCTTGTATTCTTTGCAATCTATTAGCATATGCTTAACAGTGAGCAACTGATCACAAGAGATGCACCAAGGTGCAGTTTCTGCTTTGAGTAAGTATTTGTTTGTAAGATGCGTTATGTCCAATTCAGACTCTGCTTAGCACTATGTCCTGTCTTCAATCAGGTAATGGTTCTTTATTTTCTCGTCTGACTGATGTTCATACAGTTTATTGTTTGAATACACATCTCAAATTGCTTGCCATTTTTTTTTTTTTTAACATTAAGTGATCTTATTTTTGTAATCTGTCTATAGGAATTTAATGTTGGTTATTGTCATTTTGGTTGTTTCCTTTGCCAATGCATCAGCTTTTTGATTTCCCTTAAGACCTACATCCCTAGGAATCCAGGCCAAGATTATTTTGTTGGACTTTATCAAAAGTGACAGGTTTCTAATATTTTAAAAGGTAGTTTGAATTTTTTTTTTTTTTTTAATTTTTGTTAGGCTGGATAGGGAGTCCGAGAATATTAAGAGTTTTCCGTCTTCCAAGTTTCTGGTCATTTCAAGCGCCATTTTTATGGCTTGTAGCTCGGGCATAACTAAAGAATGCTATCATGGTAAAACAGAAACTATTACATGACTTTACCCAGCCAATTCGAATTTGGTTTGGCACTGGAGAAATCAGAATGACAAATGTAGAGGGACAGATTTTCTGTTTCAAGTTTTCCTTAATTTTATTTCAGGTTTTAAGGAATTTTGTTTTTGCTTCATTAATACTTAGTGAGAACGTCTAATAATATATAAATGTTATTAAAACAAGAAAATAAGATTAAAAGTTTTTAAAATGTCTAATTTGTAAAATTTGGCTTTCTGAAATGACAAACTGCATTCCTACCTCCATCACCATGTGTGATAGGAAAAAGAAAGGATTAAAGCAAAAAGACAAAATTTTGTTTGCCCCCATCACCACCACGTTTTTTTTTTTTTTAAATTAAATAAAGCAAACTTCATAAAACTTGGTCCCTAAATATTTTAAATTGAATGGAAACAGTAGTTAAGAGGGATGTATTAAAAAATCCTTGACTTTATTCTTTGACGTTTGACAGATGAGCGAGTTAAGAAAGTCAAATGTAGTAACAAATAAAAATGGCAGTGGGCAAATCTGTGTGGAGGAAAAAAAAAAAAAATTCCACTTCAAGTAGGCCATTTCGTTTTTCCATCAATTTTTTTGCTTTCATGGAAAATAAGCCGCTCAACCCCTCAAGAAATGCATTCTCCTTCATCATAAGGACTTCCAATTCAGTAATTACTTCTAGGCAAACAGGTGCTTCAAAAGCAGTTTGAATCCTGGGACCACAAATGAGAGAGAGAGAGAGAGAAAAAAAAAAAAAAAAAATAAATTAATTAAATTAAAAATTACATAATTTAGGGCTTACTTACTGAGGTAAGGAACAATTTTCACGCCCAATTTTTTGGCCCTCTCAATAATGTTGTCACCCTAGAGTGAAAGAAAGAAAGTAAGTAAAAGTGAAAATGAAAAACTGCCATGAATACAATACTTTTAAGACATAACAAATCCATTCAATAACATTGATTCAGTTGTTTAATATGTCAACACTTAACCGATCTAATGTCAAATTAACCTCCACGGCTAAAACCCACCATGCCACACCTATTGTAGCAAACCACCCTCATTCCCTTCATATTCCATTGGTGAGATGTAAATTCCACTTGAGAATCTTTATCCCATGAACTGCTGCTGTGTGGAACCAACTCCCAAGAGGATGCTTCTTTGATCACTAAATCTTAACCTGTTTAAGTTATGTGTTAACCACTATCTTCACTAAATATCCCCATAAACTGTGCCTTTTACTCTGTGACACTCTACCTCGAGTGGCTCTCAGGCCTTGTACAGGGTGAACATCATTGTAAAAAAAAAAAAAAAATTTATAGATCATACTTTAATAGGTCAAGTAGCAACTAGTGAAAAAGGTAAGCTTAAATCTGGTTTACACTAGTGTTAAAAATGGAGACATTATTTGGATCAGTAAGCAAGTCTGCAAATACCTGACTAAAATTTGGCCTTTTTTTTTTTTTTTTTTTTTAGGGGATTAGAATATACTGTGAGACATTTTCTAAGCCCCCTACAAAATGGCCCCAAACAAAAGGTGAATTATATTGATGTACTAAATGGGCATAAGGATGATATGACAACTTTTCCAGATGGACCAGCAGAATGTGGTTAGTGAAATACTGCCATTTATTTAAAACCATATCCAATACCAAAATGGCCATAGAGGGGTATATGCTATTGAATCAATCCAACATGGCAGCTTCTGTGATTTTCTACAATGAGTTATTTACACAATTTATATGCAGATTATTGTCCTCATCCTTCTTATTGTTATCACATTTTGGCCGTTGGGCATACCAACCATCGTCAGGGTATATGTTGATTTGGGTAACCTATAGGGAATTCCAAACTGGACCCTTTTTATCTACATTGGTAGATTCTTCTCATTCCACTGCCTTGTTAGGTTATATACAGGATGCGGTAGAAATACCATCCACATAATGGTAAGACATTAGTTCAATGAAGACACCATTCTCACTAATGTCTTACCATTATATGTGAAGGATTTCTGACACACCCTGTATAAGCCTTACAGGGAAAAAATTACAATAATTTAATCCATAAGTAGCAACTAATCAATATTTCACTGCTTCTCTTAAACGGTCAATCTTGTACATTTTTCAGTCTTGTCAGATTTTTGTAGCTTCACCACCATAAGAGATTAATACTGTCAAAAGTTTGAACTAAGAAAAAAGCAACAATTTAAAAGGTAAGTATTTGGGGGAGCTTTTCATTAGTTCCTGTCAGTGGGAAATTCCTACAACAAATTAGAAGTAGTGTGTTAAATTAATTTTCTTAATTCCTTGGACTTATTTATTTTCAAGGAGAGATAGAGATATATGGAGAAAAAAAAAGGGGGGGCAGGTTTTATTTATGGAGAATATATTTTTAGATTGGAAGTAGTTTTTTTTTGTTTTTTTTTTAAACTTCAGTTTTTGGTGGGGAAAAGAAGAAGAAGAAAAAAACAAAAAAAAACTCCCTAGCCAACCCCAAAAATTATTTTAATCAAAGCCAACAGGATTTTTGATTGAATCATTCCACACCCCTCCCCATTTGCTATTTTTAGTTGTGTCATAAGATAAAATTGGTCTACACTTAATCAACAGTAGGCATTGGCAAGTCACTGCTACAATATCTAGCTAGTAATAGAAACTAACAAAAGATTGGCAAAATGATAGATTGATTCGCTTTGTTTAACAGCATATCAACATTCTTATGGGTCATCTAAATACTCTGAACACAATTTTATGGCTTCAACTAAATATATTTTGGACACAATTACATGACTTCATCTACAGATAAAATTGTACTGTTGGTCATTTATTTTATATAAAAATGTACTGCTGGTTATTTTACTATAGAAATGTATTTTTATACTTTCATAGGATTTATGTTTTTTTTTGGGGGGGGTCTCTCTATTTGCCCATAGCTGGGACCCTAACAGGTGCTACTACCCCAGGTCAAGGTGGATCTGGAAACAGCAATTGAAGAGGTGGTTCCAGGCTCCTCAAAATCTCCAGTCACCTGATCAGAGACCTTACTGCCAGATAGAGTTTATCATTATACCCAGGACTAGTGAAATGATACAAGCAGACCTTTATGCATATGTTAGTTTACCAGAACCAGCATGCAAATTATGTCGTACTTACTGCAGAATCCCTTTTAGCACATTGCAACATCGCTTTACCACGAGTAACCTGGAAATAAATAAAAGAACAATGATGAAAATAAATAAATAAATCCAAAATTGTGTTGTGAATATTAACAAGTTTGCCTTGCATATGTAATAGCTAATTTGAAATTTTATAGTAATGTCAGGTCACTATAGGCATGCTACTGATTATGTAACCCAGTGCTGCCTGTCGCACTGTCAGGTCATCAGCAACTGAATGGGTCCCCCCCTGCCAGGCTGGTGAGGAGAGTGGCTAGACACTGAGCAAGATTAAAAAAAAAAAAAATATCTGTCTATATTTCTGAAATGAGGTACTGTAACTATTTACAGTTGTCCTCATCTTTATCTGAAATTGGACTCAGAAAAGGAAAAAAAGAAAAATGAAAGAACTTACTGTAAAAGGCTTTTTTTCAAAAGTGGATGGAGAAGGTGTGTGTCCACTGTTAAAAGGACTTGAAATAGACATATTGGGGCTGCCACTTGGAGATTGGTCTTCATTTTTGACTTTTTCTTTGTCTTGATTAGTTACAAAATAATGGATTTCTTTACTTAGAAACTTTTCAATTGTCTAAAAAAAGAAGAAAAATAATATGGTTAACAGACATTCAAATTAAAATTACAAATTAAAAGCCAACAGACCCTTTTTTTTTTTGTTTGATTTCTTGCAGATCACATTTTGTTCCTGCAGATCAAATTAATTAAAAACATTCCCCCAGAAAAACAAAATACACGAGATTTGTCATGTTCTGATAACATTAATGTTACAACAAAAGTGTAACTATTGTATAAATTATGTACTTTTTATAAGATTTTTTTTTTTTAAAGATAATGACTTTACTAATACAAGTCCTAGAAATTAACCCATGGTTGGTAGGTGGGGAAGAGAAGAGGTGGATTCATACCTCATTTACCAATGGTATTTGCGCTGAAGTAAATATAACTAATTCAACTGGAACTGGAACTCGGCTCCCCTAATTAATAGTTCCAAACCATTATCCACTACACCATCCACACATCCAAGCTTACAGCACTTTGTATTCTCAAATGGTTCACTCATCTAGGTACTGACCAGGTTGGATGTTGCTTAACCTCAGTGATCATGTGGGAACCGGTATTTCAACATGATATGGACTTAAGCCTAGTTTATCTCGGAAGGTTGGAGAATATTAACCTGTACCAATTCCTATAACTTTGAACAGGGCTCCAGACAAGCTCATGTCCCCACCTTATTACAGAACCATCCCAATTTATCATACATCCACGCGGTAAAAAAAAAAAAAAAAAAAAAAAACTTCAATATAAATAAGAGAAATTACTTACAGCACCAAGTTGTTCTAATTTTTCCTCTACTTTCTTTTCCTGCCTGACTCCTTTCAAATCCAAATAAATTTTTTTGCCTGCCAAGGGAAGTTTCTCTTTGAATTCAAGTTTTCTTCGGCTATTGGCACTGCTTTTACCTGAAAAGAATTTAGCAGGAGATTCTCATATTTGTTTTCTCTTTCAACATAAGTTAAACAAATATAAAGAAAACAAACAAAAAAGCTTAAACTTCTGATGAAACAGTAATATAACTAAAATTATTTTTGAACTTTAACCTTTAGCACACTGTACATAGGTGACTTTATTTGTAAAAAAAAAAAAAATTTTGTACAGCCACTGCATGCAAGTCTGATCATCAGACAAATAGTTTGGTTGAATTCTGTACTAGTGTTGTCATATCCTACTATAGCAAAAGGAAAATGACTAATTGAAAATCAATGTTGCTGCTGCAGTTTTGTGTCCATTTATGGTCAATGGATGAGGATGAAATACTTATGAATATTGCAGAGTGATAAAGGTTAGTTGCATTTTCATGTCTTTAGGCAACAGTCATTCATTAATACAAGTTTGATTAAAAACTATAGACAAGAAATGTTTATTTTTCATGTTAGAAAACATATTTGGGTCTAATGAGCAAGTGTAATATCAAGAAACTCAAAACTATTTTAAATAAATCTTTCTTTGGGAAAGTGGATTTTAAATAGGTACCCTCAAAGAAAAAAAAAAAAAAAAAAGATGAACATACGAGCTGAAAAATAACCCAAGCATAAAAACAAAGTTTTATTGTCAAAATATGTTATTAAGAAAAAAAAAAAAAAAACAAAGGAATTTTTGATTATTAAACTATATTTTTTAATCCTTTTTAGAACCTGAAAAATTTTGTTTAAATTTTTTGTTTTTCTTGTGTCACCAGATGACCATAAATTCACGTTTAATTTGAGCACTGCCCTGCAGTGGAAAAAAAGACTGATGTGAAAATTCTTGCAAAATATCAAATAATTGGCATATTTTAATGAAACTTTCAAGACTTATTCACAAATGATTGAAATTATTTTGTAAATATTTCTTTCTTAGAAGATCTTGGTGTGTGTGTGTGTGTGTATATATATATATATATATATATTGCATTGCTACCTAGGGAAGGTTACTGAATAGAATAATCACACAAAGGTTGGTAATGAACAAGAATACTTAGAACAAGAACAACACATATAAGATTCACCAGCAACATGTAGAAGTAGTAGTCAACTGCATTCCACAATGAATCTCCAACTGCAGACCAAAATACAGTATTTACTACTGTATTTATATGAATGGGGACATACCCATTATTGTCCATAGGTATGCTACTATATATATTTGATATGATCAAATTTTCCTTGGTGGTGATCACTGAATTGATCTTGAAATCTCTGAGGACATTCTTGCTACCTTTTCCCAGACATTCTTTCATTTCTTGCCAATGCTTTGAACTTTTGGATCTGGTAACTGAAATTCTTGAATATGACTTTCAAGTCTTTCCTCTCTTTTTGGAGACAGTCAACAAAATCTGTCTCCAAATATGGACCTACAAACAACCTCAAAACATTTTTTTCCTGTCTATGGCAAAATATGATATATACATGATATATCAGGACAACACTGAGTAATTGAATAACAAAATGGAAAGAAAAATCCTATAGAACATGTTTCATCATCTAAAAGACTTCAAACTAGTGTAATGTACTTATTTCTAATCACTTTACCCCAAGCAAGGCGATAATGCCACTAAGATGCAAGGGGTTACTGGGAGTGGAAGAGAATGAGAAAAATTTAGTAAGGAGAAAGGACAATAAAAACAGATTGCAATTTACATTGCATTTAAATTTTTCGAAAACTGTACGTGAGATGGAAACAAGAAATCGGATGAGTGTTCCACAGGTGGGAAATGTGAGAAAAGAAAACAGAACTTATGGCTACATCAAGTTATTTCAACAGTAAAACAAGGAGACCTAATAGCTAATCAAATAGTATGCTTAAATTCATGTATTTGAAATCCCAAGGTAGCGAGCTTATTAGAACTTGCCATAAAAATATTTATAAAAAAGACAGGAGGAAAGCCATGTCACAGTGGTGGGAAAGTGACTGAAGTTGAAATGCCAGGTCAGGATCGATCACATTACAGACCCTTCTTTGGATTTTGTCAAGCATCTAGAGATATATAGCAGGAACACCAGACCAGATACAGCAGCAATATCCAATGCATGAACGAATGGTAGATTTATAAAGGTGTAAAATGGATTCTGACAAGAAAAATTGTCTGGCACAACACAGTAAACCAACTTCCCTAGCAAGTGATTCAACATAAATCACTCCACTTTAGGTTAGTGGAAAACGTGAGACCAAGAAGGCTTAAATGAGTCGTTCTCCTGGAAGTTAGTAACAATGGAGGGGGGGGTGATGATTTAAACATAAACACCAGTTATAATTATACCCGAACGGTGAAACACTGAAAACATAGGAACATTAAATTTTTAAATGTCTAGCATCCAACATGTGGAGGCCTCAAAGCTGAACTTCTCATGTTTTTGAACGAATACATAACACAGCATTTAATTTGACTTCAACAAACTATACAATTTATTAAAGATAAAAAATTCTTTTGTCATCACAGCTTTAATCTTTGAAATTTCTTTATATTACTCAGTGAATTTAATGGCAGATTAGGCATGCTTCATTTTCAGCAGGGATACTGGGAAAAATGTTTTTGCTATATTTAAAGCAAGCTATCAATACATTACAAAAGCACTTCAGCTATAGCAGGAAACATTACTGTACATAAAAAGAAAACATCTCTGTATATAAAAAGCAAGCTGGCACTACAGCTCAACATGAGGAAAAAAAAAAAAAAAAAAAAAAAAAAAAAAATGTAAACATTTCTCCACAAGTCATTCTTCTCAGGTCACTTCATAAGACAGACATATACCTCTGCAGTCATAATGTTACCATTCTGAGGGTAGTGTTTTACCATTACTCGTCTTTTGGTTATGTCTTTTTCTTCTGTAGTTTCCAGTTAGTTAATAACAACAGTATTTTTAGATATGATTGGTCAGTAGTTTCCAATGAATTTTTATTGGTACTTTGCTTTAATTCCTTTTAGACTGCCAGTAATAATAAGATATATGGCTAAAAATGGGAAATTGGTCAATCCAAGTTTAAAGTCCAGGCTAGTCTTGCATTCACTCTCACGCTAATGCTATTGAAAAAAAGCATGAATCAGCCTTCTCTTCCCAGTTATGTGTTAAATAGAAGAGCAGAATATGCTCTTTAGACTTGGGTGGCAACCAGTCAGAGAGAAGGAAAAGTGTATTTCAAACTGGAGAAAGCATCAGGAAAAATATTCCACTATCATTCCTGAGAATGCATGGCGATTCACAATTAATAAAGGAAGGAAAGGAAACTATGGAGAGCCATCATTGTGAATGGCCTAAAGGCACATGATATTAAAAAAAATAATATTGTCATTTGAGTAAATATCAAAATAAAATTAACCCATCAGAGGTCTCAACTTTGTATGTGTGTGTGTGTGTGTGTGTGTGTGTGTATATATATATATATATATATATATATATATATATATATATATATATACACACACACAGTGTGAACTGTTTTTGTAAAGCAATTTTTGAAAAAAAAAAAAAAAAAAAAGTTTATGTAGCCAAACATAATCTTTCAAATTGCTAAATTCATCATCCAACACACCAATTTAGTTTCATAGGCCATTGCTTGTGCAGGGAGGTCAATCCCCAGTGGGGACTCAGTTTAGGCTAACTACCTACTATAAACCTGCAGAGAGGAAAAAAAAAAAAGACACAAACTCAGACAAATTTACCATTCAACAATGTTGGGGGAAAAAAATAAGCAGACAGACTAATTCAACACAAGGGACAACAGTGACACAACACCATCAAAACCATTCATCGTCTGCATTTTCTAAATTTGGCTAAATTCTTTTTTCAGCCCTTATGAAAATTTTTTTTTCTCTCCTCATTGAATAATAAATTTACCTTCATCTTGTCTTTTCAGGTTTTCCTTTGAGCCATGTTTGCAATTCAACACTGCATTCCCCACACGTTCCTGCAGTTGCCATCTTTTATGAACTGACAATTGAAATAAGACAAAGGATACCGATATATTTTTTTTTATCTTTCCAACAGAAAGCAACTTGCACATGGAGGTGCTGAAAAATTTGTGTCCAAACCAAGGAATAATTAGAAGCAAAGAGAGAAAAGAAAGGCAGAGGAGGAGATTTTATATATATATATATATATATATATATATATATATATATATATATATATATATATATATAGTATGAGTGCATGGGGGGGTCATTTAACTAGAGTTGTAGAAATGGGTTGGGCCGAGAAATCTTCAGCACCCCCTCAAAACAATGTAATTACAGAAGATAAAATATTTTTAATTGGTTTGATCTACATTCATGGTCATATCACATTGAAACTAGTTCTAATCCAAGCACCAAAGTTAAGCAACATTGAGCCTGTCATTACTTAGATAGGTAGTACTGGGTATGATGATAAATTACATTTTGCTTCTGATCGGGAGATTGGAGCTTTTGAGGAGCATGAAACCACCTCTTAATTGCTGCTGTTCCCAGGTCCACCCTGACCCAAGGTAGTAGCACCTGTTAGTGAACCCAAAACAAAACACTATGAATGTATAAAATATACATATATATATATATATATATATATATATATATATATATATATATATATATATATATATATATATATATATATATAAAATATCAACAGTACATATTTATAGTAAAATTACCAACAAAAAATTTTATCTGTAGTTGAAAGCATACAATTGCATTCAAAATATATTTAGTTGAAACCTTAAAACTATATATGTCTTATATTTCTGAGATGAGGCATTGTAATTATTTACATTGTTCGGACAGTTGTCCTCATCTTCATTGTTATATTCACGACATTTCAGTTGTTGTAAGCTGTGGCCTTTTTCAGGATCTGTCTATATTTATGAGATGAGGCAGTCTAATTATTTACTTTGTCGATTTGACTATTGTCCTCATCAACAGTTCATAAAATTATGTACAAAATATTTAGATTTCACCATTAAATCACTCATACAGGTGTTGATATACTGCCAAACAAAATCAACCAAACCAGACTTAGATGGGTGACCACTTGGGAATACCAGGTGCTGTAAGTCCCTACCAATACACATTAGGACAGTACGGCTTCTTCTACCCAATGAACAGCAAAGATGGCAATATCTGGAGAAGTCCAACATTCAACAAAGGACCATCATGGGCCAAGAAGACCTACCTGTAATAAATGTATAATCTCTCAAATCAAACCCCCAAATAGGTAGAACAGCCATTTAACAACAGATTTGTTAATATTTCAATTTTACAGCAAGGATATATCATGTTATGTGTACGGAGTTGAATCATTCTCATTTCCTGAGTACTCCAGTTGCAAGGATGATTTTCTGAACACTACAACCTTAATCTCTCAAAGTCAAGGATTAATTGTTGTCTATCCTCCATATCCTCATAATCTTCACTTCCTAACACCTCCCCCTTCTCACACAATTCATTCAGTAAACGTCTTCCTTGAACATCACGAGACATGGAGTCTCATTAGTGGCGTTTTTTCAAAATAATTGCCCTCTGTCTTGTCTGTTTACACATATCAAAATAGTACCATGTTAAAGAAAAAAAGGACATTCATCAATTTGATAGGCAATCCATGAGGTTTGAAGTTGTCTTTCACAAAAGATTTTGAAGTTGAAAGCTTTAGTAGATGAAATACCAGAAATTCAACATTTAACAAAATGAAATATACACCTCCCTGTAGAGTAATGTCTCATCTTTTATAATCAGTTGGTTTCATATTGTGGTGCAAGCAAATCAAACAGAGGGTATACTGCGTTCATTTTGTGCAAAATAGTCAAATCTGACACATCGAAATTTGTAATGCCAAGTGACAAATATTACCAGCTGAATTGCATTTTAAATCAGATTTGTTTCATTGATGGATATTAGAATTTAAATCTTTTTCTTATATTTTCTTTAATAATGTATTTTAAAACTGTATAAATAAATCAATTATTTATTCATTTTTAAAATAAATGCAAACTGACAGTTTGGACATAATAAATAATATTTTATTTTGTCCAAATTGTTAGCTCAAACTCTTGTTGCCTCAGCTAGTCTGATTTAAAAAAAAAAAAAAAAATTAATAGAAATAATAAAATAAGAAATAAACGGTATATTTTTAGTTTTTTAAATTTTGATCATTCTCATTTGTCCATAAAAAGTTAAAACTTTTAAGAGTCACTTATAAAGTATCGTTACAAACTTCCTGAAGAAAAATTTTAAAAATATTAGACAATTTTATCTTTTATCTTGTATTTAAATAAGGTTTTAACTTATTAAGACATTTAAAACATTGCCACAGTCATTCAACAAATCTCAATTCTTGATGACAAAGAAAAATTTAAAAATCTCTTAAAAATCCAGTATTTGTCTTTCGTTTCAAAGTAAATTAGTAAAATTAAGGAATAATTGACAGGATTTTCTGAAAATAACATTTATTTATGCATGGTATCCTATGAGCAGTAATAACCAGAGTAGCCTTCTAATGATAATGCTCAAAAATGGTAATGAACTTTACACTTTTCTATTCGTAAAATATCTTCATTTAATAGAAAAATCCTTCATTGAAGAAATATTAGAATTGCAATGAAAAATTACAAGCACATTTTTTTTTTTTTTAAATAGATATTCAATGTAGATTTTTTTTTGTGTCAAATGTCATTTTAAATTATGCAAATACCAACTGTCAACGAAAATGCTTTAGTTTTATTAAGTTATTTTTTGGTAAGTTTTGTGATGAATTTTCACTATGTTCATGGTTGAATTTGATTTTTTTTTTCTCCCTTTTTTAACACTCAAGTAACAACTTCAAAGATTTTTAAGTGTAAAAAAATTCTCAAAATTTAAATGCGTTATCAATATTTGAAAGTTGTGTTGGAACTGTCACACACACACAAGAAAAAAAAAAAAAAAAAAAATACCCACGACCAACCTCAAACATGCTCAAGCACAACCAGACTACAGCTTGGCTGGAAGCAAAACCAGCAACTGAGTGTCAATGAGTTTTTGGCATTTCAGGAAAAAATTCAAAACATCTTGGACAAAGGCACAAGTAACGAAGAGTACTTCTGAAACTTCATGTACAGGAAAAGATTGCTAAAACTGAATGGCAAAAGGCAGCAAAAAGAGTGTCAAGCCGCTGCTGAGAAAGAGAGAATTATTAACTCAGTCATCAAGCAAAGGTGGTTCTACGAAGTCTTTACCATGCTAATTTCTTTCTAGAATTCTTCCCTCTGCCATTGAATTTTTCTTTTTAGGGCACAAAAACATGAACACCTACGGTTTTAAAATGGTTATAACTTTCTTTGTATTGTGTGTATAAATTTTAATTTTTGTACACTAAGAAAAGAGTAATATTTTGATGTAATGCATTATGTTCTGCATGGATGTTTTGACATTGAAAACAAAAAAAATTGAAACGCAAAATAAAAAACAAATAAATACATTAAAAATACATAAATAATTCAATGTACTGGAACTTTTATTACTCCTTGTGGAGTTCTGGGGTGCAATAAGAAGCAAAATCGCTAAGAAGGCTTTCATTTCATCAAAAAAGTGACATGTTTCCTCATGTTTACATACAAGAAGACACCAGCATTTGTTTGGTATTTCTTTCACCTATCATATTTGTCTTGTTGACAAATAAAGTTATTATTTCATGGTTTATAAATAGACAAAATAATTCACCTTCAGAAAGGTTATCAGTTATATTGATGGTTACCAGTAGCTCCCATAAAATTAGTCAGGCATGATAGTAGCCACCTGAGGGCATCATAGCTTTCCTCTATGTCCCTAGTGTGGTTATCATCTTTGACCACTTCACCGTCAATATCCACTCAAGTAAAGCCCTCAAAATCATCATCAGAGTCCTAATCAAAGAAAAAATCCTGAATAAAGTCTTTGTTGGCTATTGATGCGGCCATTTTTGTTTACAAAAAAATTGTAAAAATTTAACATAGGTTTAATCGGCGTTACATCGTGTAGAGGCTAGAATTCAAAATGGTGTTGGAAAATGGAAATTTAACGTTGTTCCAAAGCAGTAGTAGGCAATTTTCAGCTTAAAATACTGGAAATAACAGTTGACAAGTGTTTATTTATAAGAACCGTCTCAAGGCAACAGAATGCACCTAGAAGAGCAAAGGGAGAGAATTCTATGGTGACAATTTTCACCTGCAGTGTAGTAGAGGTTAAAGATGTCCAAGAACCAGTGGTTTGGAAGCACTGTAAGATCAACTTAAATATCTGAAGGTTTTCTTACATATTAAGATCAACACGAGTGAAAGTAAATCTCAGCTGGAAGCTGCTCCTTGCAACTACAGGAAAATATGTTGATTTATCTCCAAAACAAAGGAAAGAAAAGGTATTCAGTGGTTCTGAGTATTTAAACTCTTGCAGTTGCAATGAAGAACTACCTCAGGTGACCTTTAAGCACCAAGGCCAATGCATTGTAGTATATCAAGACTCCAACTTTTCCATTGAGAAATCATTGATATTGCTTCTCCATTCAGTGTTGTGAGAAAGTTTTGCTCCAACAAAGAACAAAAATGATTATTTCTAATGGCCTTTGTCAGATGATAGTGCACAAGTGGAATCAACATTTGTCTTCAGATGGGACTTTGCTGGATATGGCATGTTCCAGAACCATTAACCATATCAGAAGTTTATAAGGAAACTCAGCAGGCAAATCACCATTAGGAAAGAACATACAAGAGAATCATTCACAATGTCCAGAAAGCCTTTTCTATCAATTTAAAACTGAAGAAGTTTAAAGAACTATAATAAAGTCTATATTTCTGAGATGGGGTATTGTAATTATTTACACTGTTCAGACTGTTGTACGCATCTTTATCGCCATATTCACGACACTTTGGCCATTGTATGTTCCGGCCTTCTTCAAGTGAAGAGAATTTCAAACTGAACCCTTTATTTCATCCACTGGGGTAGACTGTTCTAGTTCCCAGTGGATAAATGTGTTGGCTGGATCCAGTGACTTGACCCCTAAGAGTTGTCAGTTCAATACCTGTCTACTGCAGTGGTAAACAAAAACTTGTAGAGTTGAGTTAATAAAAGATAACCGAGACATCCAGAAAAGGCATGGCACATGGAACTAGAACAATCTACTGCAGCAGACGAAATAAAGGGTTCAGTTCAAAATTCCAATCAACTGAAGAAGACTGGAGCATACAATAACCGAAATGTTGTGAATATGGCAATAAAGACGAGGACAATAGTCCTAACAATGTAAATAACAAAGTATTTGTTTTCCTTTTATAAAACAAATTTCTAAGTTTTGTAGTCATTACTGTACTGTTTTTAGCGAGTTGGAAAATTACATAATTAGACAAGATTTTCCAAAATAAAATATGTATATTCCAAAAAGTATTGGTATTACAGTAAAAAGAGCGGTTTTATCTAATTTCTTAGACCAAAATGAGTAAAATTCCAAAGTTTCAGGGATGTACCACCAATGGATATTTTTTAGGGCAAGTTCAGTAGGATATAACTTTGATCCGTTTTCATCCTACTGCCAAACAACACTTTCTGGCTGTTTTTATGCAGTGTAATTTTTTGTTTTTTTTTAATTGAGGTACTACTGGAAAATAAAAAAACAAAAAAAAAACATTAGCTTCATCTCTGTTGTGCTATGAAGTACAAGAAGAAGTTGCAAGTTTCATTATTTGTTGAAATGAAACTTATATGATCAATCAAATTTTGTTTTTGAGAACAAAATTTTCCCAATGTTTAGGTTGGTCTGATCTAAGAATTATTGATTCCATTAGCATTATCTTTCTGTTACTTCAAGACTACAGATATGACATTACATTTGTTAATTTGTTAGAAATCAGCAACTTCAGTTATACACTGTTAAAATTGGCTTTTTGTCCAATAGCACAAGACAAAAATTGTTACAAACATTGAATGGTCATAACTTTGTTACTAATTGAGCTACCAAGATAAATTTGGTATCATCTGTTGCAGTTTGCCAAGAGCTCTATGTCTGTATAAACGGTTTTTAGATACACTGAAAACAAAATTTTAGTTTGGGATACCTATTAATAGTACAATTATTATTTCTTAACAATTTCTCAGGGTGATTTAATGATTAACAAGCTTGCTTAGTTGACTATCACTACCAAAGAGGAGTTTGACCCTCACTAAGTGTCCCATACTCATATCAGATTAAATTTAGTAAATCATAAGTTAAGAATAAACTATTAGAGGATTCTAAAAAGTTCTCAGTCCAACCACTTCTCAAAATCTGATCAAAACATCAGAATTTTAGTTTGGGAAACTTTTTGATAAGTTTGAGAACTTTTCAGAACCTCCTCCTCATGAATGACAAGATAAAATGCATCATCCTGTGCTTACCTGATGTTTTATTTCCACTACTTGGAAGTGGCCGTGGCTGATTCTCCTTCACAATTTTGCCTGTTTTCATTATTGTTGACAAGAAGCCACTCAAAAGTTGGTTCAGACCGGTTGTAATAATTCCATCCTTAATTCGAACTAAAGAAGCAAAAGTAAAAGAAAATAGTGAAAGATCGCAACAATAGAAAAAAGAAAAAAAAAAAAAAAGAAAAAAAAAAGACTAGCAGACACACAAACATCATTCATTTACTGTATTTCCAGAACTTTTAGCTAATATTACTTGTTTTCTTCATGTGACCGCTTTCTACCTTCAGTAAATGAATGATCACAACTCTCCATAACTTCTTTTTGTTGCTCTAAGTATTTTTTACTTCTTCACCCTTGTTCTGCTTCAAATTTGTTAAGTAGGTTTTGTGACGTATGGTGGCCATTAATAATTAAGTATAACTCAAGACTTCAATGTTAAATAAAACTATTTAAATACAACTGCAAATAAGTACAAAGAAGTAAAAGTCAACCAAAAATAATTAACCATTTCAGTGAATACTTTTCTAGTAGCACAGCTCAGCTTAACGTCCAGTAAATTCTAAATCAAAGCCCAAATCATCGACACAGAATAATTTACACTAATTCGACTGAATCACTTGAAGTCAATAGCCTGACACTGCTATTTATACGCCTGGCAGAAAACGTATTCATAAGTCCAGAGTGTCATGCTTGAACCTCAGTGTCAGTAGTTACACATTTTCTTCCTATATGACAATAGGTTACTCAATGTTAGCCTTGACTACAATATATCCTGTGAGTGTCAAATCGTCAACAACCTTATTAATGTTGTTATTAATTAATGTGAATTATTACCGACATCTTTGTGATCATTATGATAACATTTCAGCTCCAGCTCTCATCAGCTACTTACTAACCCAACTGAACCCTTTATTTAATCTAAAAGAAGATTGTTCTCAACTCAGGATTGTCCCATCAGGACAAGAGGCTAGTGGATTAAAGCATTGGGTATGAATTTGGTGACAAAATTGGAAGTTGAATCCTCAAATAGGCAGTGTGTAATTGGAATCAGTGAAAATGGGTACAAGCAATAACCAAGCAGTACTCAATAAGAATTAAAAAAGATATCCCTAGACATATGAAAATACCAGGTACTGTAAGCATGGATGCACAGTTGTTTTAATAGATATTGGTTTGAAATTATTAACTGGAGAGCTGAGTTCCAATCCCAATTGGATTCATTATATTAACTTACATACAAATACTCTTGGGAAAAGTATGAACCCACCTCTTCTCCTCCCAGCTATGGATTAAATAGTAAGACTTGTATCACTAAATCATTATCATCACAAAAAAAAAAAAAAATCTTACAATCTAAAAATATTTTCTGACTCCTGACGTTAAATTACCTGCAAAGTGTTGATACAAAATCCAGAGACGAATATGCAAGATGATAGGTCCTAATCTGGCATCTAGTCTACAATTGCTAGACCACAGACATGCCGTGGCCCCCTGCCTCTTCTACAAGTATTTTCATAGCAACTGTTCTGACGAGCTACTTTCGATAGTTCCTGGACTACATGGATTTAAACGAGCTACCAGGCTGTCATCTCTGTCCCACCCTTTCACTGTCAAAACGGTTAAATGTAACCGTCTCTTCTCCTCAAACAGCTTCTTCGCACGCACTTCCCAGCTGTGGAACTCCCTTCCCCTTACTTGCTTCCCCGATAGATATAATCTTCAAATATTCAAGTGTAATGTCAATCGACATCTGACAACCTGAGCTTGTTTCCCGCCCTTCTGTAAGGCTTTCCTCAAACACACCTCTTTACTCTTGTTCTCAAGCCTCTGTAACCCCTTGCATGTTAGTGGAACTCCCAACTTGCTCGGGGTGAATTGCCTTAAAAAAAGGAGAGAGAGAAAAGAGAGAGGATATAGGAAATGAATCCATCAATATAAAATGTCCTAGACAGTCAAGAGAACAAGAACAATCGACCCCTCTAGATTAAATAACCAGTTCAGTTTGAAATTTCCTGAAGGTCACCAGCAGTCACCTGATGAAACATTTTGACAACCACAAAGATAAGGACAATAGCCTGCATGTAAATAATGATAACTCTCCTCGGAGAAATTTAAACAGAATTTTCATCTTTTCTCAGGTGTCAGAGATTTCAGCAGTCTCGTTCTGATTATAAGTATACAATTCCTTGCAGTTTTCATTTTCCTTAAATCTTTTCATTGATCATACATTTTGTCCATGGTATTCTCAGCATACATTGGTAGAACCACATCCTTGTCCATTCAAGTCTATTTCATTTCTGAGATGATTGTCCAGCATTCATCACTATTTAGGAAATTAAATATTACATAGCAGTTCAATCTTGTTTCCGGTTCCTTCTAAAGTCTACTTCAACTCTATACTTCTAATGTTGCCACTTAAACTCTGAAATTTTATTTATTATTTATTTTTCCAAAAATAGGAGTGGGTAGATTTGCCTATCATGCAGTTCACATGCCCCCCCCCCCCATTCTTTTGAACAGGGGTAAAGGTTTATCTCTTGTTTCCCCATTTAGGATTGGGTTTTCAGTTCCTTCTTAATTCTCTCTCACTCCCAGTAGTGCACCTTGTGTCTTAGAGGTATTATTGCCTTGCTGGGAGTGAAAGGATTAAAAAATAAATAAATAAAAATCACACAGATCTGCTACAAATAACTTATCTCTCAAAAGCAACCAATTTACGTAACTTGAAAGTCAAAGAAATAAATTTCCTTTCTCAGCAAAGATTTAAAATTTTTCTTTTGTGATCAAGAAAGTACAAATTAAAGCCATAATCAGAGAATTTTTTTTATCACTGAATGGAGAAAGGAAAAAAATTCCCTTTTTCTATTGCTGGGCCTTTAGGTGGAGATTCAAATGTAGTAATAAAAAAAAAAAAAAAAAAAAGAAAGAAAGAAAGAAACTGATCCTGGAGATCAGGAACCTAAAACAGTACCTCCCCACCAAACTACAAGGAAAGTAATCTAACAGTTATTATCATTGTATTCCCAAGTTAAACTATATGCCATATTCGAAAAGTAATTGTTTCTTTCTTTTTGTGGGGAGAGAAGGGATATTATTTTACTACTATTTTTTTATTGCCTATAGCTACATTATATCTCAAGTCCTTTTCTAAGCAATAAGCTCAAGGGTCTTATCTTAAAAACTGATTGTGCAGCACCTTGTCTTGAAGCAATGGTTAGCAAGCTGGTCTTTTTGATAATTACTACTGAATAACCCATGCTTGTGTCTTTGTGCCATAACTTTAAGCTTAGTAAACAACAAAAAGACAAATATTCAGTGGAATTGTAAGCATTGTAATTAGAAAGAAATATTTTTGAAAAGGATTTTTTCATGTTACTAGAGATTAAGTACTTGAATAAAATTTTTTTTTTTTAATTAAATTTCATAAAAGTTAATAGGGGAGGGGTCCGGTTTGCTAAGTAAATTGACCCCCCTTTGCTCATACCTTGGGATTTATTAAAAAAAAAAAAAAAAAAAAAAAAAAAAATTTTTTTTTTCTCCATATCTTACTATCAAATAAGCAGTACAAATTTACAATACATAAAAATTTTCCTTTATTAAATTTTACAAAATCACAGTATAAGCACGTTTTGTTTTGGCTTCTGTAGGAAGATCAATTTACAATAAATTTCATAGCAAACTAGAGCGTCCTATTATAAAAAATAAAAATTATTTTCATTGTTTGGAATGCTTAATCTATTCTTCTATGTGTCCCTTCAGAATGTGTGGCCAATCAGGGCTCTCCACAATTTCCTGTCCTTCTCCTAATGATTCTGCCAACCATTTATACAAGCTCCATTTATACACTGCTTTACTGTCACCTCTTGCCTTTAATATGTCTTGTAAGTATCAAACCCGCTGTCTTCAATGTGCCATAGAAATTGCAATGGTATCTTTCTGATGTTAAGTATAACAGTATTTTTGTCTCCATTTTCTCTAAAGCTTTTTCATTGTTCACATGCTCAGTCCATAGTATTCTCAGCATCCTTCTGTAGAACCACATTTCTATTGTCTCAAGTCTCTTCTTCATCTGCGAGAAGATTGTCCAGCATTCACCACCATATAAAAGGGTCGATATTACCTAATAGTTAAGTATGATTTTCTTTATTTCTAATGAGATTTTCCTGTTTCTTAATACTTTGCTTAGCTTTTGCAAGGCATCTTTCACTATCTCCGTCAGATTTCAGTGTTGCATTTTCTGTCCCTTTCCTAGATATTTAAATTTTCATACTAGCTTGATATTTGTGCTTCCAATTTGTAATTAACATGTTGAGAAAATTTTATATAAAAAAGAAAATTATTTCTGATTGACACGTGGTTATCATTTTCAACCACTTCCCCATCAATATCCACTCAAGTAAAGCCTTCAAATTCATCATCTAGGATTATAATCAAAGAAAAACTCCTGAATAAAGGCTTTGTTGGATATTGATTCAACCATTTTTGTTTAAAAAAAAAAATCACCAAAAATTAATGTGGGCTTAATTGTTGTTACACCTCGTGTAGAGTCTAGAAGAATTTAAAATGGCGTTGGATAATAGAAGTTTAGCCTCGTTCCAAAGCAGCAGTAAGCGAAATAACAGTGGACAAGTGTTTATTTATAGCAACTGTCTAAAAGCAACAGAATGTACCTAGAGTACCAAAAGGAGAGAATTCTGTGGCGATAATTTTTGCCTGCAGTGTGGTAATGGTTAATCTATAGTAATATGAAAAGAAAAGTTTATATATATATAAAAAAATATGAAGTCTGATCACAGTGCCTATTATACAATGCCACCAAATATTCTTTTCATGATAGGATCAATAAACAAGTTTTAACCTGAATTCTAGTAAAGATGATTGGACAAGTTTAAATGAAGAAACAACATTAAAGAAAATTAAAACCTCAATGTAAAACATAAACGGCAGGTCGACATTGTCTAAATTCCTGCTTAGATCAATTTTTCAAATGAGTGAAAAATAAAAAAATGAAAAAAATACTTTTTTATATGCCAAATCCCTCCATGACACGTACGATCATGACTCTCCACATCTTCCTATTCTCTGCATCTCTTAGCAATGTTTGTCCTGTTATTACATCTCTCACTCCCTATTCTGCCATCAATTTCCACATGCTAATTAGGTAGGTTATATATGGTTTTCCTCAACCCCTCTTACCTTCAATGTCCTGTGAGTTATAAATTCTCCAAACCCTCATTCCTCATCTTGTGTCACAGAAATTTCAATTGTCTCTTTATGATCCTAAGCACGTCTTCTTTTTGTCTTCATTTTATGTAAAAGTTGTTGCTTGCATGCTTTATCCATGATATTCTCCACATCCTTTCATAGAAACACGTGTTGTCTGCGTCGTCTTTCAAGAAATTGTCTAGTATTTACTGCCATATAAGAGGATTGATATTACATAGCAGTTCAGCCCTCTTTTCTTTGTTTCTAACAAACATACCTTCAGATTTCTTAGTTAATATTGTCAGGATTTCAAGTCTGACTATTATGGGAAAGGGAAGGTAGAAAAACTATCATGGCAACTATTAACATTTGAAGTGAAACTCGGTGTAGAAAGAAAGAAATGATAATGAATTCTTACTTGGAACTGGTGTAATCTTGTGGTGGTAATCGTTTGTGTCAAATTGCAACAAAAAAAAAAAAAAAAAAACAACACTATATGTTGACTACAAGTACTTCTCCTTGTAGAAGTAACAATAGAAAATAAAGAGTTAGGACTCTTATTAACAGTTTTGGTAACACGTCCAGTCAGCTTAGAAAGAGGGAGGAAGGTCGTAATGAAGGAAGAAAAAAGTACAGCCTTGGATAACTATTTCAGCATTTTATGTTTTCGAATTCCAGTCAAATCCATTACATTCACTTATGTACTAATACCCTTGGGAAAGGTATGAATCCTCCGCCCTCCTACCAGGTATGGTTAAATAGCAAGACAGGCCAAATTCTATAGCCTTGGATGGCAACTGGTCTACTGCAGAAAGAAATGGAAAACCACGAAATCTGCCTCATCAGTCATGTATCAAAAGATAAATCATCACCTAAGCGTGTATCACGTATGACACATAATTGACTGATAACTCTTTGAACACATATGCAAATTTTGATCCCTCCTTCAATCAGATGGGGTCGACTGGAACTCATTTCTATAATTTTTCTATGAAGACAAAATATCTTCCATTATATTTTCGACACAAGATTACAGTTGAATCCCCTCAATTCTCCCTTTCCACAAAAGTTTCACTAAGTGCACAAACTTTCTACAATATTAGTGTTTTCTTTATTACCAACCGATGATAAAAAAAAAACAAACTGAAGAAAAAAGACAGCAAGTTTTTTTTTTTCTGTGACAATGTGGAAAGATTATTTTGAAACAATTGTCATACTAGACAATTTTTTTTATCAGAAACTATTTTACACCTTTACAAGTCTAACATTAATCTATGTACTCAATATTGCTGCCATATATGGTCTGGTGCTTCTGCTCTGTATTTAGAGATTCTTGATAAAATACAAAAAATAATTTTGTAATGTTATCAGTCCTGATCTGACATCTTGGCTTAAATCACTTTTTCCCACTGACCTAACACAGCTTTTCTGTGCATTTTTTTAATAAATATTTTTGTGGTAATTGTTCTGATGAGCTTCTCCTTTGGTACCTAGATTTTACAAATTTAAATGCAGTACTAGATTGGCAGCTAGGCCTCATCATTTTACTGCTGAAATTGCTAGACGTAGCTGTAAGTTCTATGCTAACAGTTTCTTCTCACTCTTTGCTTTATAGCAAGGGTCGGCAAACTACGGCCCGCGAAGGCATTTTGACCAGCCCGCGAGCCTAATTACCAATGACTATTTTTAACATGAGAGACGAAGCTTTCAAATTCGACAAAAGGCCTGCTGTTATGTAAGTGCACTTAGACTACCTGCCAGTTATATTTCATGAGACTTATTTTACCAAGTTGCGTTGCCTTCGTTTAATGTCAAATAATGGATACATATTTGTTATGACCCTTGGCTACATTAAAAGATAACAGAAGCGAAAGGAACGATAAAATGAAAGAGGCCAGGGAGGGACTGACATGCGAGGTAACAGAAATCTAAAGACAGTTAAACATACGCACATTACACATACATGCCTCATGAATGTGTGGATGATACCGCATGTGTACGTGCGTAAGTGTATATGTTTGCAACTATTTGTACTCGTATGTATGGGTATATGTGCTTCGTTTTTGTTTGATGTGTGCGTGTGTGGTTCGTTTGTAGAATAATTTTCAATAACAGTTTCAAACCTACACGTCATAATTTCATTCATTTTACTTTGGTTGATTTTTTTTCACTTTGAAGTATTTTGACGTTCCTTGAGGAAAAGTAATTTTTGTTTGGTGTTTTTTTTAATTTTAGATTTTCTTTTGTTTTTCTGATTTCTCAATGTTTATTTTCATTATGGTTTTAAATATTTAGGTTGACAGGGGTCTGCATATGTAATTTTCCTTAATTTTTCATTAATGGCCCTCGTCTGGTCCGCAACCCATCATTATAACACGATCCAGCCCGCGGGGTCGAATGAGTTGCCAAACCCTGCTTTATAGACAACTTTGATCTTCCAAAATTCAAATGCAATGTCAATCTTTATCTTGTCTCTTTAATTACTGTTATTCTACGGTCCTCCTCTTCTTATTTTTTTTTTTCATTCTTTCACACTTAGTACCCCCCCCTGCATCCTAGTGGCTTTATCACCTTGCTTGGTGACTTAAAGAAAAGAAAAAAGCTGTGGAGTCTTGGTAATTGTACCATTAATCTTATTTGTGCATTTATACTAAAAGCAAAGATTCTGGTTTTAAAGGTAAAACTTAAACAAAGAACAGACCTTTAACAAGTGACACAATCATTGTCTACAAGTGAATAAAAGGTCAATTTGAGGCTTGTTTTTAAGACATGTTAAATCATGATTTATTTTTGAGAAAATAAAAATTGACCAAAGATTAATTGCCCAAGAAGACTTTGATCTCGACAATAGCATTTCCAAATTCCACTAAATTCTTGTCATTCTTTCTTCCCTATTATTATCTATTAATCTTAGCTGAGTCTGGCACAAGGCCACAAGTGTAGGCACACAGTGAAGATCAAGCACCCTATTTAATAATAATCTACAAACGAAACCACAGCTCTAAGATAAAGCAACCCATGCTAAGCATACCTTACAAAAAGTAGGGCACCAAGTGAGGATCAAACTCACTACAGTAGTAATAATAATTTACAAGATAAACTTCCTAACATTTCTACGATCTGGTGTCCAGTAAAAATGTTTATCCATATTATTTTACCACGCCTTATATTGCGAATACATAAATTTAACCTCTTTTAGAACGACTTTCGAATTTTACTATGAAAAAAGGCCAACTTTTTTCCTTTTTTTATAAAATTAACAGACAGTAAATATTAAAAAAAACAACAAAAAAAAACAAGTAGATTTCAGATATTATAAACTAAAGTTTCAAAGTTCATTGCGAGTGTAACTTTTAAATGGCATACTAACATACACATGCGTCATTTATACTTAAACTTAATTAAAAGTAAAATTAGATAAAATCCGAATTTATTTTATACGTGTAATTTGTTAAAGAGAAATTTTATATAAATTTAAATTAAATTCATATATAATTTCTCTTAAATTATTTACTTAAATAATTTTAAAAAAAAAATTTTTTTTCATTTTTTTTATCTTTTCAAATCCAGTCGTTTTTTATTCTGATTTTTTTTTTATTCACATCAGTTTTAAATTCAAGCATCATTTTATTTTTTTTTTTTATTCGTGATACTTTTCAAACGAAATTTTAAATTGAAAAATTGTAACTGTCAATCTCGATTACTTTGTTTTAAAATTAATATTGAATTCATGTAATTAACTAAGTTTTTTTTATTATTAAATTTTCTTTTATCTCAACATTATTTATTTCAAAGTATAAACTGTAAAATTTCGACGATTTACTAGAAATTATTTTTTTTAAATTAAGAGAAAAAGTGACATAAAAAAAACAAAGTTTAATAAATATAAATAAAAACGTGCATTTCAAAAATAGAAACTTTTCAATTATTTTAATTAACAATCATTGATTATTTATTAAAACTTACCGTTCAAGTAAATAATAAACACTTAAGAGAGACAATAATTAAAAAGAAAATAAACAAATTTTGAGAAAAAAGATCAACGGCGATAAATTTTCTTCAAAATGAAAAAAAAAAAAAGGTCCGAATGCACACAACCCTTAAAAAAGAAAAAAATCGAAAAGCTACTTAAAAAAAAACTTCCATCAAAACCAGAATCTACCGATTTGTTTATAAGAGAGTAAATAACTTCATACTTACCAAAATTTCGAACAGAAAGCCTCCGGTCGAAGAAAAAATACCCACGACAAAAAAAAAAAAAAAGTGTAATTAACTACTCACAGTAACATAACAAGTTTACAAAGCATCCATTTTTACCGCCAAAGTGCTCCGCAGCAAACCGCGGAGCGACGATTTGATTGGTTAAAATTCGAAATGCCAAAACGTTAAAACTTCCTCGGGGAAATTATTTATTTAGAAAAAAAAATTCTAGCATAACTTGTTTTTTATCGCTATGTACGGAAAAATATTTCCAAATTCAAGTTTCTCATTGAAAAATCAATATTTGTATTTTTATTCGCGTGTTTGAATCTTTTTAAAAATTCACACCCGAATTTTGAAAAAAAAAAAAACGTTGTAAAACTGGGTTCGATCCCGTTTGCAAGATATGGATTATTATTAATAATAATTTTATAATTTTGCATGCAATTTCTTTCAAGCGGAAACTTTTTTTTTTTAAATCTCACCACAAATAGGATTATGTGAGAAATTATTTAGACGTCCTAAACTTCATTAAAAAAAAAGCCAAAAAAAAACACTTCAACAATTTGCCACAAGCAACTTTACTTTTTTCTTCTTTTTTATCACTTTAAAAAAATTTCTTAAATATTTTTTATTTAAATATTAATTTAATTATTTCACGATATAAAAAAATAGTAAAAACTTTAAATAGATAAATTAAATGCTATCAGTATTTACTGTCAATAAATAAACATCTGCTTTCTGATGGGGTGTGTGTGTGTGTGTGTGCGCGCGAGCGCGCGCCCGCGCGCTACCGGACCACAGAAAAAAAGGCACATTGTAGCGCAGTTTATGTTAGGAAATAACATTAAATTGCTCCAGTTTGAAGAATGCATTTTCATCTGAGTAAATTATATGAATTTTGCTTCAATTGAAACTGCATTTTATGGTGTTGAAATTTTGAAAATAAGTAAAAATAAATAAAATTACATTTTCAGATTCCCAATTTCATCAAGTCTTAAAAATGCATACGCATACACTCATACATATATCTAAAGAATTAATACATTTTTATTTATTAATCCGACATATTTTTTATCACCTTAAACGTTACTTTTAGTGGGTACCCATATTTGAGTAGACGCCCCGGTTATCTTTTAAACATTATATTTATTGTCATCTACCGGCCTGTCGAATATTTAGGCGGGTTGACAAAAATGAATATACTGTTTAAAAAAATAAACGGAGCGTCTTCTCAAATATGGGTATCCATTAAAAAACAACGTATATCTATCTATCTATCTATCTATCTATCTATCTATCTATATATATATATATATATATATATATATATATATATATATATATATCCAAGTATATAAAAAATAATCATATATATATATATATATATTAAGAAAGAACAGTAAGATTTACAATCCGGTGTTATTTAAAAAAAAAAAAAACAGTGTTCGGTACAAAACAATTTTAAAAAATATGGTTCCATCGCTACACAGAAATTACCGCGTTTCAAAACAGAAACTAAAATTCTAAATTTAATTATAAAATTAAATTTAAAACAATAGCTCTGCTCCATTCCCAAGCGATTTTTGGATTAGGTTTGGAGACTGGAATGGAGCTATGGATTTTAAATTTAATTTTAGTTTCTGTTTTGAAACTTGGTAATTCCTGTGTAGCGACGGAATCATATTTTAAAATAAAAAATCGATATATATATATACATATATAAATACACATATATATATATTCACACATATATATATATATATATATATATATATATATATACGCACACACACACACACATATATATATATATATATATATATATATATATATATATATATATATATGAGATCGAAAGTACCAAAACAACAAAGAAAAAGGAAAAAAGAAGGTGTCTATATTTCTAGGATAAGGTATTTAAACTATTTACACTAGTTACATCGTTCGAACTGTTATCCTCATCTTTATTGTCATATTCATGGCGTTTCGCCGTTGTACCTTGGGGGTGGGGGAAAAAGTTAAATTCATACCTAATCATAATTAGGATAGCTAGACGTGACGTAATGGTTAACAGGCTTGTCTCGCTAGAACCATTACAAGTGAGTTCGATCCTCACTGGTGGGGGGGGCATACTTTCAGCCTTGTGCTACTTCTAAGCTGCGCCTAGAAAATCATACCTAATCAGAATGTGATAAACAAGAAATTATGTGTATAGAAAGTTGAGGATCACTTCTATATTACAATCAATATATAAACTGATCCCTCACTTTCTGGCCACGGTTGCTCCTATCCATTTCTATTCCAGAGAATGTAAATAAATCTAAAAGACATGCCTGTGTAGCTAATCAGTATTTCATTGATTGATTGATTCGTTTTTACGGTTTATCAACAATTTGCAGGTTATTTAAAGCCAGAAAATATTTTTAGTTTATAAAAATTATTTTTAGATAATAATAGTTTAGAGATACAAGTCTTACTAATTAACCCATAGCTAGGGGAGAAGGGGTGGATTCACGTCTTTCATAATAATATTTGTAAGTGAATATAGCGAATCAAATGGAAATTGGAACTCGGCTCTCTGATTAACAATTCCGAGCCATTATCCATTACACCACCCACACATCCCAGCTTAGAGTACATAGTATTCCCAAGCGGTTACCCATCTAACTACTGACCTGGCACGACGTTGCTTAACTACAGTGATCGTACGGAAACCGATGTTTTATCATGATGTAGCCGTAAGTGTTTTGGCAACATACAAGTGCATTGAGTGCTTAATTTCTAGTTCCTTTTATGAATCATTTCAATTTAAGCAAAGCAATAAAGCCGCTAAGACGCAAGGGATTACTGAGTGTTACAAAATATGAGTAAATAAACCCTATTAAGGAGAGAGAGAACAATAAAAGAACAGTGGTTAAGAAGACAGAAGAGAACGAGTATCATTGCATTTAAATTATTGGAAAGCAAGAAGCTGGAAGAGATTTCCACAAGCGAAAATGCATTAATCTTCCTTATTACAAAACGCAGTGTGTGTGTGTGTGTGTGTGTGTGTGTGTGTGTGTGTGTGTGTGTGTGTGTGTGTGTGTCTGTACGTTTATATATTGGATCGGATTTCCTACATTTTTCAACCGATTTCAACAAAACTTCACAGGACTACGTAAAATTACCTTGCGGTGGTTCTGACAGCGCCAAAAATTGGAAAAATACAATTGTTTTTGAACGAAATCAATTTGAAAACACGATTAAGAGCCATTAATGAAAGAGGGACAACTCATATCGAGTTATACTTATTAATATTGAGAACTTATTATACTTATTATAAAACTCAGGTTGATTGTGTGTGTGTGTGTGTGTGTGTGTGTGTGTGTTCGTTTATATATGGGATCGGATTTCCTACATTTTTCAACCGATTTCAACAAAACTTTACTTTTTTTTGGCAGGTAGTATTTCTTATTGTCTTGCGCACTTTTTTCTTTATTTTTACATTCAGAATGCTTGAAAAATTCCATTTACAAGACAATTGTTTATAATAAAATTCTATTCAATCGGTAGACTCATAACGATTGAAAACAATGTTTTTGATTGAGTTTGGGTTTGAAAAATTCGTAAAAAAAAAAAAAAAAAAACTAATTAAGACATGCGTGTCCGTTAACCTTAAACAATAATCTTTGTCAATTTTATTTTTCAGTCTTTATGATGGTCGATACTTGATACATCCCTGTTACATCCCCGGGCAACGCCGGGCTCTACTGCTAGTTGTTAATACATGTGTTGATACATGTGTAACGGGGTCGGATTTTGGGTATGTGTAATGTAAATTACCCCTGTTACATGCATAAATAATTGACAGTGGATTCCTTTTCTCTTTTTTTATACTGAAATTGAAATGAATAAAACGTACAACAATAACAAACAACAATGAGATCTTGAGGCACCTGTTGAAAATGTGTATTTTTCTTTTCGTCATGTCAATTACAATATTGGTTTTGCCTGTGTTGAATGATCTCAGGGTTATTGTCCCTTTTGTTTCATTAAAAAAATGCGCTAACTTGTTTTTGCTTGTTCCGAGAATTTCGTTGTTAAGGATGGCGTTTGATACCGTTAACTGTGGATTTTTACGGAGTGAAGAAGATACGTATTTTTACTACAGTTACTCTACTCTACTGATATCGCTTGTCGTGGTAGGGTCGTTTTATAATGATGAAGTTTCAAATTTTAGAATGATGAAATATCATCATCATATATCATCACTGCTGGTCAGGTTGTTTTATAATTGAATATTTATCTTTATTTCCAGGATGATGACATATCCTTATCATTAATCATCATTGGTGGAAAGGTTTTTAGAATGATGAAATATTATCATTCTGCATCATAACACATGCATTAATTGTCATTTTTTTAATGACATGATTTGGGTTTTATTTTTACCCGGACTCACATGAGCCCGCCAAATATTGTTTGCTGGATACGTATTTACTAAAAAATGACCACAGCTCGCAACCAAAGAGGGTACACCTCGCAACGAAAGAGGGTATACCTCGCAACAAGTCAGAGGACCCTACCTGGGAGGGGATTAAAGTTTTGTCCTTCTTTAAATTAATAAATGTCTCACTCGAAAAGGTATGAAAACTTCTGGGTCGCACATATAATTTATATCAAAATATATAGGAAATGCATTTCAGAAATTTTTAGACTTTTTCAGGAACGTCATTTATTAATTTCAAGAAGTACAAAATAACTGTTTAATGATGAAAGGGTGCTACTATAATACAGTATAACCCGGATATAAGAGAAACCCGGATATAAGAGAAACCCGGATATAAGAGAGATTTTCTCTAGTTCCAAATTAGAGCCTGTGTTAATGTATATATAATAGACGAAACCCGGATATAAGAGAAACCCGGATATAAGAGACTTCTTCTCCGGTCCCGACAACTCTCTTATATCCGGGTTATACTGTATAATATCTTCCGTCCCTTTTCTACTATAGTATGATATCTACTATTGATTTTCTACTATGGTATGATATTTATCAACTATTGGAAGTATGAAATATAGTTAGGGTTAGGGATTAGGGTTAAATATGCTGAGCGCTCTTGAGTTTTGGCAGGAGGCTTTTTGAAGTGTGCAAGATAGGCAGAAGTGGAGCGACGTCATCGTCCATTCCTCCTTCAACTTACTGATACGTGAAACAGGGACAGGACGGTTGTCGTCTTGATAACTCACCTGCAACAGAAAGCAAAGCGGTGATCTATCTGTTCAAGAAGAATGGCTTTTTATATCCCCGGCAAGTTAGGTTTACGGTTACAGGCAGTGAACAGTGAACTGATTATGTATTAAAAATCATAGATAATTTTTTATACAAAAAAATAAAAAAATATAATCAAATATTGATCTTAAATGTTTGTAAGCTTATTTTATATCATTTTAAAAAAAAAAACAGTAAACAGGTCATCGTTTTTCCTGAGCCTTTTCCAGCAATAATGAGTGTATCGTTATTTACGGTAGGTCACAAATACCTCGGTAGATATCATACTAGTGTAGCACCGATGAAAGTCCTTATACATGCAAAAAAGGTCACGGGGTGTAAATATATGTATTAGAAATTAAAATTAAAATAATAAAAATAATCATTATGTCATATTTACGTATGTACATTTATTTTGTTGATACACTGCATTTTATTTTAAAGTTAAAAAAATCAGGTATACAAGTGTCAAACTTTAGCAGACGTTTAAATTACCGTCTGTTTTTAAAAAAGTTTATTTGGCGGGAAAAGAAAAGAAAGGGTAACTTCTTCTCGTGACTCGTCTGGGCTTAGAAAGGATTAAAAGGGGCGAATTCGCGCGTTTCTAGAGTTTTCGGTAGACTTTCTGGCAGGAGGCTTTTTGAAGGGTGCAAGATAGGCAGAAGTGGAGCGACGTCATCATCCATTTCTCCTTCTACTTACTGATACGCTAAACAGGGACAAGATGGTCGTCGTCATGATAACTCACCTGCGACAGAAAGCAAAGCGGTGATCTAACTGTTCAAGAAGAATGGCTTTTTATATCCCCGGTAGATTTTGTTGGAAATTTTAAAGGGTTTGTGGCGGACTTCACCACATTAATTTAACTTTAGATTAGGAAACAAGGCTCACGCAAGAAGACATTGTTACACATAAAATATGTATTTAACAAGATGTACAATATCAAACAACGATGTGAAGGAAAGCATGCATTTAAGTAAGAAAAGGTTGAATTAACCAAGAGTTGTCTCTCTTTAATTGTTATTTTAGTGGTCCAAAGTTCACTGGAAGAATGTTCATGAGAGTCTCTTGTAATGATTGTTCTTGAAAGATATTGCTGTGTCAGAAGAGTTTATGTTTAACATGTGAGTGGTGTGTGTGAGTAAGTTGGCGCATGGTTTCAACTGTTGTGGATTCGTTTGGCAGTTGAATTCTCACTAGTATTTAGTCACCCCCCCACGAGGGTATCTTGTGGCACAAGGCCGGTTTAACGTGGGATCTCCGAGCCCGTGAGCTCGTCCAAAAATATGCACTTTGAACCATATAAACAGGTTCAGGGTCGGTTTACCTCCCCGAAAGAGACTCCGCCCTTCGGCGTAGACTCGTTCGGGTTCCTCCCCGCCCGAAGGCAGAGAGTTCAACCGATCAGCCGGTCAGCCGGTCGTCCGACTTCAGACTGAACCAGTCAACACTTGAATTGAATTCTCACTAATTGGGATTAGAAAAATCTTGGCTTAAATAAGCGACTATAGGCTCCAGATCGTTACGCGGGAATAATTATTCTTCACGTGCAAACGATCTGATTGGTTGCCATCGACCAATCAGCGAGCGAGCTTTGGGGAGATTTAAGAAAACTTCTGTGATCCGCTTCTCCCAAAAGTGCACAAAATTGACTACTTAAAAATAGAGCGATTACAAAATTGTCGCATTAACACGTTTTGTAAATTGCCTATAGTAATGTAGTGGTGATTTATTAACCAATGAATGCTTGGCGTTGTATGTGATTTGTATTTTTGTATGTATGTTCGTGCGTAATAGATCCACACAGGTTAAATCAAATTTACAACCTGTTATTAAGATCCCTAGTGGCAGTTTGAAACTGTCATGAAAATTTTAACAGTTAAGTATAAGATGAAAATAATCTGAGTCGTCCTTTTCTTTTTTTCCGCTGCTTGTAAGTACAAAAATCACCTTTTTCTATATTTCCTGTTAAATCGCTGGGAAAATTCTCATAGCACTAAAAAAAATAAAAATAAAAATAAAAAAATAAACATTATTAGTACAAAATATCGGAAAAATAAATTGAAAGTTGACCGTTTGCGTTCCTGAACGGGAGAAATTTCACGATAATACACTACCAAGTTGTCCCCCTTTATTTAGTTGTTTCTAGTATGATAGTCCCGTAAACTTTCGCGATCATAGGCGTCAACTTCCAGTTTATTTTTCCGATACATACCTTCAGGAAAGGTCTGAATCACCTTCTCCTCCTAGCTATAGGTTAAATAGAAATATTAGGATGAGAAAAGCCGTATTATCTCCAAAACATTCCTATAATTCAAGAATACATTTCGGCTTTAAATAGCCCGCAAAAGGCAGATAAGCCGTAAAAGCAGACCAATAAATTAATCCCTTTTCATCATAAAGTTTGTTTTTCTAATTTCCATAAACTTAAAACGTTGTCTTCTGTTTCCTTCGCTGTCTTGTTTACATTGAATGCTAAGTTTCATAAT